TATAGGTAGTGTGGGGTAGTCCATTGGACACCCCTTGGAGGGTCCAGGTATAATGTAATACAACCCGCCGTAGTGGTTTTTCTTGGGCTCTCGGGAGCCTTCGGCAGCGGCGCGAAGCCGTGACAAAGACGTGACAAGCCGTGACAAGTACGGCCAGGATCCAAAGCCTTGTTGGGGGAACCGGGAACCGGGACCGGGTTCAGATGATCGATCTCCGGCCGCGTTGGGGAGGCGAATTCGCCGTAGGCATTCCCCGGTGGTCTTCGTTGGCGTTGGATCCTGGAACCTCCGCAAACCTCGGAAGATCCGAAAAAGGGATTTTCGCTTTTCGTTGGAAATGCCGGGAGACTTGCGCCGGAAAAGGACGCCCCGCGAGCTACGGGGTTCGTTCCGTCCTGCGACGCGCTCAACCTCGGCATCGGCCAATGGCCAATGGCCAATGGTTGTTCGGTGTTCCTTGGTACAGGCCTCTTTTTTTGGAAGCCTCTAGTACATGTTTGTGGGACTATAACACCAACAGCTCGTTCTTTTAATCTTAACTCTAAAACCATCACTTGGGAAGTACCAACCTGTGCAAGTGGGTCTAACATCAGCTGTGGTCCCTTCAAGCTATGGGGCTCCGCTTCGGCACATCTTCCGTCCAATCCAATCCCAGTTCGACCCTCTGAAAGAAGGGACATAGATCAGTCTACCCAGCCAAGGCCAGAAAGTCTCCCTATAAAATTCTATACACGCCGATGTGTGTGCCCATGTGCAAGATTGGAGGTTCCTTTAACCACCATAAAGTGAGTATATAATAGCCCAAAAACACGTTTTCCAGGACCAATATCTTCGATTGGGATGCTGCAACCGAATTCCCTGGAATTCCAACAGCCATTGTTGTTGTTTTCAATAATGTTTCTTCAATGGTCTTTACCAAAGAACATCAAAGAACCATTGTTTTGCTGAGGATTTTAGACTGACATGTTTGAAATGGTCATTGATTTTTACGTCTTTTTGAACTGGTCTCTGAAGGCAGGCTAGGGCCGGCCGGGTCATGCCACGACGTCACGCGACTGCCGTGCGTCGTGCGTGCTGCACCGTCGGTTGTCGCCACCATCGACGTGAAACAGATGTGGCATTTGTGGATCATGTCTTGGGTTTTTGATCCACAGCCACATGTGTCCGGGTCACCTGGCTGGAAGCCCCCTGCACTACGAATATCTACGAATTATCCGGGATCTCCATTGGACACCCCTTGAAGGTCCAGGCCTGTTCTTTTGATCTCTTCTTTTTGGGCTTCTTTGCCGTCCAGGCCGATGCAGAGGTGGAGGATCGCGATTTGGAAGGCGGGAGACGAGCTCGGTTTGTGAAAGGAAGAGCGGTCGTTCAATCCATCTGAAAGACCTAGGAGGTGGTGAAGTGCCTGAGTCTTGCAGTATTTGTATGAAACCTCTCCATCATGACATCCTGAATGTATGATATTTGTATGAAACATGCTATCATCAACTGGATTGGCATGAAACATGCTATCATCAATGGAGAATAGACTAGTCGTCCTTGGATCCATCATGATCCACCTCCATTGACTCGGAGAAGAAAGGGCGTGCCGTGGGTCCAAAGCGGCAAACCCTGTGCACCGGGCACGACCAGGGGTCTCGGTGGTATGGCAGGCCACAGCCAAATACATGCAGTATCCTCTCCAACCGTCGGAGAGGCTGTTAGATGCAGAGTGTAACGGCCTCCGTTCGACTGAACTGGCGGCCGTTCCACTGATCCTTACAGCGACGCGAGCGGAACGACCCTTCCTGGATCCTGAACAGAGCTGGGCGGATCCTGATTTGGTGGTCTAGAATCGTAAAGCGGTTCGGTTGTTTGGGATTTGGACCGTTGACATATATTATTGAAACAATGGTTGGCCAGGAATCGCAGGGTATGACTATGAGTACTTCATTCCTTGTGTTGGGACAGTGCATCAAAGAGGGTCATGGGTCATGAGTGAGGGCAGTGTTTTGCTTCTCGGGATCAAGATGTATTCTAACTCTGGTAGCGTTTTTTCTACGGGGCCATTCCACATGAGAGAGAGGGGGTATTTTGTACAAACCATGATGTTGGAACTGATGAAATGAACTGAAAACTGAAATGATTTATGTTATTCTTAGAATGAAGTGGATTGAGTTCGTGTTCCAAACCTTTGGGAACTGAACTCGCCGCTCAGATCGCACCCCTCTGATGTGGGCCGCGCGGCATGGGCACCTGAGCGTGGTCGGGCTCCTCAGAGCGCGGCCGTTACGCCGCGGGGGCGAGCGCGGGACGTCGCATACAGCTGGTTCTGGATGGTTTTGGTTTGTGTGGTTTCAACCGACCGGGTGAAGCCGCTCCCACCGGCGAGCTTCTCGGTCGCCTCGACCAGGTAAAGCTCCTGCTCCGGCGATGTCCGGATTTGACGCATCGCGACAAGGAAGGCGGATCGGACCGGGCCCGTCGTCAAGCGGGCTGTGCGACATGCCACACGTAGACCCGGTAGACGTTTGAACAGTCTGGTCATTTGTTCGATTCATCTTTTGGGTTTGAGGACACCCCACTAAACATATCTAAACATGAACAGATGGATTGAGGTTAGTATTAAGGTATCACAAAATGTCCTCCACGAAATCAGGTATCATGGCATAGCTAATTCAGGTGGGTGTTTTAATCTGCAAAAAGTCCACCCCCCCCATGTTGTAGAGACAAATCAGTGGGTGTCTCATTGACAACTCATTCTGTAGAATCTTTTATCTTGGCAAGCTTATACATTGAGTGCATGTGGAAAGGATGTTCTAGAGATTTGAGGGTGACTCCAGGGATTTTGTAGATACCAAGAATGTATGTGAATGTACAGTAGGTGAGATTTTGTATAGTTCTTTTGATATCTGCAATGACCACAACTGATGGACTCATGATTTTGTAGAGCACATAAGTATCTTGCTTCATGGTCTTCCCACGATCCTCTTGAATCCACTTGATCCATTTTGTAGAGAGGATCTCTTGATACATAATTCTGTAGCAGCTTGGTGTTCATTACATTCTCCAAACTGGGTTTATGGAAAAGCATTTTGTAGAGAACATGTGGGCCAGCCATGCCATTTTGTAGTGGACATGCAGGTACGTCCAATTGTCTAGAGACAGTTTTCTACAAAAAGCCACTCCCACCATGACCATGCCAAATTAATCGTGGATATTAAGGTGATATACGTATATTAGTAACCCTTTTTTTCCAGGGAAACGGCTAGGGAGTCAGACAGTGTTCACTTGGGCGGCCACATATGATGCAGATGTATCATACTATGGCACAATGATATGACAATGATATGACCATTTTGGAGGTCAAAAGAATTCGAGCGCACCGTTTATTGCTGTGATGTATGAGGATTCGAATGCTCACTTTGGTGATTCTATCGTATATACATTAGTACATGAGTGCATGATGGTTGCACTATGAGGGCACACAGGTTCTTCAAAGTGGCCAGCTTCTTCAAAGTGACCTTTTTGGAGGCCCCAACTGACCTATTACGGGCCTAAGTGACCGAACCAACCAGGATATCAAGGACTGTCACTTTGAAGAACCAGGTGCATGGGTCATAGAATCGGGAACAGATACAGGTACACTCACAGAACCGGCCTAGATTAAAGATTTCTATCCGTCCCCAGATCATCCGTGGGACTGAACGAGTTACACTAGGGTCATCAGTTGTATAGATTACATGTATGCACCGTTGCCGGGAACCTTTGCCGGGCACCACTTTCGTCAGCATTTTCCTCTATAGTCTTAACGCTTCCGAAGACCAATCCATGCATATATATATATATATCAGGGGCCCCACAAACCATCAAACACCTGGATTTCCCTAGCAAAAAACTATGGGTTTTGTATGTGAAAGCCTTTGTTTTTCATGGTTTGGTTTTGAGGGCCCCTGGTACATGGTAAGTAAATTCCCACACTTCAGAGGAACTATATATGACATACCTTCGATTCCTGGAATTCCATCGCCGCACGAGTTCACCTCCCCCTCCGCTTGGATGTTCGTTCAACCCCGCTTTCTCCGCCCCAGAAAAGGTGGAACGGAGGGAACGGCGGTGAACCTTGGAGTTGACACTCCCTAGCCCACGACTGATGGGACTGCCATATATGCCCATCAGTTGGGGTGGTGCCAGGGGGGTCAATGTAAGCATATATTCCATACATGGAGTGTATGGGTAGTATAGTAGTGATAAGGATCCTATCGACCCGACCCTCGCAACGCAAGACGGTCGAAGCCTCGATCTATCACAGGGGTGTTGTTGAGGGCCCCGAAGCAAACCCTTGTTGTTGAGGGCCCGGATCCTATCTGGGCTACATTTGTACCTTTAAAGGTCGAAACTGAAGGCGAGGATGACTGGTCATCGCAAAAGGATCACCCGGTCTCTCAAACTCCTTGCTGGATGTGACTGGTAACTATATATATCAGACCAGGACCCTCCAAGAGGTCACCACCTGCCACCTTAGAAGTTGTTTGGAAGGTGCTGGTTGAATCCGACCTTTAATTCTGTTCGGAATTGCAAACAAACTGTTTTGGGCTCCAAAGCAGTCACTCAGTTTCTAGAGGTCCGTGGTATTCATATAGCTATTCCATCCATGGATTCCTACCCAGTCAGGGGATGACCTGTACAACCTTTTTGTTGGAATTGGTGACACCCCATTGTTCACAAGAACAGGTGGAGTTCGTTCTGTTATACCTTGATTTTCCAGGGATGGATTTCCGGCTGGGGGGTCTCTTTTACCACTATTGACCGAAGACGATGACCCAGCTAAGTACCTGGATGGATTTCCAGCTCTTTTAGTCAGAGACCATGGATGCTTTGGGAAAGCTCCTGCCACGCCCGCCACGCCCGCCACGCCCGTCCTTGCGTCCCATCGCAGCCCCAGGCCTCGCCGCGCTCGACCATTGCCGCGAGCACCTGGAGATGCGCGCGGCGGTGGTTCTGGCGGGGGCGGCCCGAGTTTTCGGGCTCGGAGGTGGAGGATGTGGAGGTTGCTTTTCGGAGGTGTTTTGGTGTGAAGGTTTAGGTTCTAGTTGGCGAAAAAGAAGGGTGGATATGACCCTGATTGGATGTGAATTACTCAATATTATATATATATATATGTGAGTGATGTGTTTGATGTGTTCTTCTTCCCCCACTTTAACGCCTCTACGCCCACGTCAAATATGCACGTCCAAAGAGATTTCTGTCAGATTCACCCAGGTTCCCAAACACTTCACCAGTCAACGCTGTTTCTTCACCAGGGAGTGCCTGCTCTTCGTCCCTCGCACGAATCACTCGCCACGTTGGCCGCGGTGGCGCCCGCGGCGACTGAGGCACAGGAACAGTGCCAGCGCCTGGCCGATGGCGCACAGCGGAACGATCTTCCGGCTCGGAGCCCCTGGTGTGGCTCGGGGCAGGCGTCAGTCCTGCAGTGGTCGTGGCAGTATTTGTTTCGGTTGGGGGGGAGTTCGGACTGTTTCTTTTTTTGGAGCATGGTCCTGGGGTGATGGATCAAAAGCATGAAAGATGCATGATCGTAACAGAGATGTATTGCATGATGTATTGTATGTGCAGAATATTGAATATTATGTACTATATACCAGCAGAGCGGCCTCCAACATGTCTCCTCTGGTGACTGAAATGTGGCATGTGGTACCCTGAGTAATTGTACAACCCACACTCTGCGACTCAAAAAGTGGTGTCAAATCATGTCAAATCAAGCAATTTGTCATGTGACTTGGTAATGTTTGGTATATCTCTTGGTAATGATATTTCCTTGAAAATGACTTACAGCGACAGATCAAGGAAACCGGTGGGTTTCGAAAGATCCTTCCTTGACTGATTAGCTGCACGCACACGCACCACTGAGAAGAGAGATGCATCAAAAGTGATTTGACATCACGTACACCCAGTTCCAGCAAAGGAAAAAATGGCTATCTGCAAATACCTCCAAATTGATCAAATTGGTGGGAAGGGACATGCAAAAATGGCTCAAGGCATGCCCAACTGGTATGTACAATTATGTACTATATATATATATGACTATATATCCCTAGGGCTCCAACCACCTCCTGAGAAGATGGTTGGGGTGGGTTTGGGGGGTCTAACCATCTTCTGAGGATATGGTTGGAGCCCTAGGGTATATACCCTACAGCCAGGTCTCGCAGCATTGCGAGACCATGAAAGGAGCTCAGTCTGTTCCTGCTAGTCATTTGTTTGAGATATCCTCAATGAAGCAATGGTTCTTTGGTACAAGCCATTCAATCGGTGGGCCAGGAATCCTCGGGTGCTGAGTACTGAGAGTCTCCGAGTACTGAGAGTCCCTAAAGACAACAGAAGAACGGATTTGTTCAGCTTCCCTTTCAGTGCCTGGGCATATCCTGCGGAGCACGTTAATGTCCGTTCGTTTTTAAATCTTTTGCATCTGAAGCTAGAACTTCAGTTGATTGAAGACTTGTACCGGTCATATTTCACTTCAGTTGATGTTCAGGAAGGAGTTTTCATCAACTTTTGTGTCTTTATGTGTTTTTTTTTGTACATATGTTTAATTGTAACCTTTGTTCCATCAGGATCCCAGGATCCCCTCATTTGAATCGCACCGAATCGCTGCTGAGTTGGTTGAACATCTTCTCCAACATGGTGCCCTCCCTCGCTACAAGGCTTGGCTGCTGAGGAAACATATACAAAAACGGACAAAAGTACTCTTACATCAGAGCCCTGCAAGGAGAAAAGCTGCGGACTCCCAGGGAAAAGCGTACATGTGCCATGTGCGCATATATTTATTACGCAAAGCTGACAACAAATTATGTATAACAGAATTGGCCGTGTGTGATCACACATGATGTTCCTGCTGTCAAGACGTTACACGTGGATGATGGGTAACGTAGCGAAGCTTCTAGGTGAAAGAAACAAAAACAAGATCCGCTTGTGGGAAGCCGCTCTGAAGATTACGTGTTACTTGGGTTTCCCATCACCCATACAGCTTCTAAACTCGGTACTGCACGCTCAAAGATCTTGAGACCATCAATGACCAACACCATGTTCTCACTCACCCGCACTCTCCCCCAGACCCAGTCGCGGACCAGGACGCCGGCGGCTGGACGCCGCTCACCTGGGCGGTGCTGCATAACTCGGCGGACATGGCCCACGTGTTGGTGCGCCCCTTCGATGCACAGAGCACGAAGTTCCTCGCGCGGCAACGCTGGAGGAGAGCGGAGCGGCGCTCCGCGCGAAACGGTCTCCGCCAGCAGGGGTGAAGACAGGTTCCATTCGCCAGACACTCCAATATTTACCTGCATTAAACCCCTGAAACCACCCCACAGGTAAACCGTGTGCGGGTTCTTGTCTCCTCCCAAAAGCGACCTGTTTTTTGGTGGTCAAACTCATCGACTCAATCCAACTTCGGTCTGGCACCTCTGGGTGAAGCGACCCTCGCACCCTGCCCCTACACCTCCAAGTAGTTTCTGAGAAGGTGGGACTGGGGAAAAGTGCCAGGTGGGTCCAGAAACCATTTAGAGGAGGCCGGAGTGGAGCCCGAACCGGGACAGAATCCGGACTTGGCGAACTGGGTGTAGGAACTTAGAGCACATGGAGCTCAGACATTTCACTGACATGCCCAGACGCTCCGTGAAAACAGCCCGATTGTTTGGTCTTTCAAAACCATGGTAAAACCGATCGGGACCGGTGAGATGGGCCCCAAACCCTCTCCACCTTCCGAGGGTCCAGGGTCCAGGGTTCCGTCAGGATGCGCTGCGACGTTGGTGAGTTCAGACTGGACCAAGGTCACATGATGTGACATGAGCAACTGGCTAAACTCTCCGTCGAACAGAGTAGTATGGGAGCACAGATTGACTGAACACATGCACTTCGACCTGTAAAACGATATATTGGATAGCACAATGTGATGTGATGTGATAGCAAGATATAGCAAGTATACTGCATTTGGACCAGCACCTGCGCTTCCTGACAGCATAGTTGTGCATGGAATCGTTGAACAGACAGTATAGCATGCGCACATTGCGTCCCGACCATTCCTCAAGTTTTCTATAGAATTTTCTTATTTGCAAACATGTCAATTCCCATGATATATTTCTCAAGATGTGTTCAGGCTTTGAACGATAACCAAAACGATAACTAAACGATATCCATCTTGGAGAGAAACGCGCTCTGTGATGGATGGCCCAGATGTGAAGATATTTGTGAGAGAAAGCTTTGCGAATGAGAAGATCGATCGCTTATTGCATGTAGGTGCTCAGGTACACATGTGAAGAAGCTGAGATAGAGATTTCAAAGTGTGGCCGCACGAGTGTGGCAGGTGTTTTACATTTTTGACATGGCTCCTTGCAGGTTTATTTTTTCTATTCGTTTCTCCCAAAAACATTCAAAAACGATAACTTGGGCTAATCCGTAGCAAACATCGAGGTTTTGCCGATCGCTCACATGTCACACGTCCGAACCTCGTTCTGCCAAGCCATCGCATGAGGGGTTCCGCTTGGAGCTGAGGGGCTCGTGGCTTTCATCGGGGTGTTTGCTCAGGCTTCCTAATCAGGAAAAGTGGATAACATATAACTGATAGTAGCATCCTTTAACCATCTTGAATCATCTTCCACCAATTTTTAGGGATTGCTTTCCCCACTCCTTAAGGGATAGATCGCAGGTGGATGTCCTTCGGTTCCGGCTCGGCCGAGAGCCGCGAAACATGCGGAATGCTCGGCCGAGGTTACGGAGCCTACCCGGAGCTCATAGGCGGGTCGCCCGCCACGGGTCAGATCGGTCCAGTGGGTCCGCCTATCCGGAGGCGACATGGTTCCTCCTTCACTTCCGTGCCACTGGAGATGTGTTTGGTTTTTGCAGAAGGATGAGACATAGACTGTCCGTTCAACCTTAAGCAGGTCTCTATACAGGTCTGGGAAAGGCCTTTAGTATAGGTTGAATCATTGTCGACTCTTGGAAGATGCTGGTAGTGGTGCCGGTATATCCCTATAGTATTATCCCTATAGAAGTTCAACCTGAAGAATCCGTTCCCGGGCCCAACCGGTCTGGACGGGAGCGCGACCGGTCTGGAACCGGTTCCCCCCATCCAAGCCCATCCGATGGTGTTGCGATCGTTGGGACCACCGCGAAGTGTTCAAGAAGATCCGCCAGACTTCCAGGGATGTGCTTGTCCACCTTCAAGGGGATCGAATTGGAGCCTTCGGCTTGTTCTAGTTGAACGTTTGCTTGCTATCTTGCTATCCCTGACTCACCATGTGTTCCTCCAACGGAGTGTTTCTGATGTGGGCGTGTATGAAAACAGGGAGATCTCCCAGTTGGATCCCCTGGAAGAAGGACAGTAGGCCAGTCTATGATACACATTGGTGTCTTCCTATTAAAATACATACACTCCAACGAACACATCACATGGAAGTGGATGGCACACTCTGTTCGTAAAAGGAAAGTATATAAACGACGTCTTCCTTTCGGGACCATGCATTTTCCACTTCGATGTGATGTGTTCGTCGGAGTGGTTCCATTTGTGGCCATGGGGGCGTATTGTGAATCAAGAGTCTACGTGATACAAACTACATCAGTTTTACGATATACACATCATACGAGTACGCCATCCCACGCCCCTTCTTTTGCATGTTGGGTCTCACGTATCTTGTCTTACCGTCTCTCCTTTTCTGGGAAAGAGCAGCGGAACGGCATCTTCCAGCCAGCTGGAACGGGATGATTCCCGGGATCTGAAGATTCCCGGGACCCCCCCCACTCGGAAGTCACACTGGCTGTGGGATTCCTGGCTGTTCCCATTGTTCCCAATAGGCTCCAGGTCCCTGAATCCTCCCGAGGATGGTCAAACGGAGGTGAGTACGTACTTCCAGAGAATGATCGAACTGGGCGCCTTTCAGGACATCCGATTCGGATGGTCCTGGACCCTTTCCGGGAAACAGGTTCTGGCATGTTCTCCGAAACCACCGTCACGAACGGACGCACTGTGCCAGCACGCAGCGTGCAGCGTTGCTCGGTTTGAAGATTTCAGGAGAGAACTCTGAGCTCGGACAGCAGTTGTCTCGAAGAGGGCGGCAAGTTGGTGGCTTGGCAGAGGGCAACTCTCACCTTGGGGGGGGCGGACCGACCTGGGGGGTATGGGGGGTATGGCGGACCTGCGAAAACGGCGAACCGTCGAGGTTCGAATGTGAGAACGCAAGCTCTTTGGAATGATCACCCACTTTTTTACTCTTGAATCTACCTGGTGAGGGAGAAGTGGTTGACCAAGGGTATTACTGTTTGTCAGGATTCTATTGGGGAGGAGGGGTTGGTGAAAGAGGTGTGTAATCCAAGATTCCCGTCCGACTCCCAACCGCTGCACCCAGTCACGCCCAACATGGAATTCTATAGACTCCCGAGCTGTCAACAGCCACCCGCAACTCTCCGGAAGCGAGAAGAGACCCAGATCCGCCGGTGACAGCGGACGGACGGACTGTCATCGGACCTATTTAACCTATTTCGTTCGCCCCAGTCAACGGAGCCCCAGTCACGCCCCAGTCACTCTTGGAGCCCCCAGCCCCGAAATAGCACCCAAGGATCTATTTCTGGATTTATTTAGAGACCCAGATCCAGGGCAACTTGAGGTCTGTAACACCCAGGGTCGGATGGTGGTCTAGATGGTCGGATGCTGTTGGAAAGTGGTCGGAGAGATGGTCGGATGGACGGGGGGAGAGGTCTGGGTGCTACGAAAAAGACTGCCTTGGTCAAGTTCTGTGTGTTTTCCATAGCACATGCCGAAATAGTTGAATGGGAATGTCCTCTGTTGCTGCAACCAGGTGCACGTTTGGCCTCTGTCTTGGGTGCGAACACGCGGTTGTTGGATGCAGCACAGGCGCGTCTCGCGGGGTGTGAGTGGAAGAAACCTGGTGGCGAACCTGATCGCATCGTGTGAACATCTATCTTTATAGAATGACCTCTATTTTGGACCACAAACCACCCAAAAGATTGTCTTGTCCTATCAAAACAGAGGTCATGTCTGGGTTTCTAGGTGTATAATGGTGTATATATATATACATATATCATGGTTGGGTTATGTTGGGTTCATCATCCCCAGACACTCCATGGTGGCGTCGCCCTACATTCACCACCCAAACAAAAAAGACAGTCATGTACATCTAGAACCAATTAAAAGACGACCTGTCCTGTGCCAGGACCCTCCTGTCGGGGTGTCTATTTATAGCCCCGTAACGCTGTGATTCGGGGTGTCCACTCACCACCCCGACTGGGGCCGGGGGTGCTGGTGGAGTCTTTCTCGTTGATCATGGTTCAAGTCAAGCCGACCGGTCGCGCTTTCTTCACCATATTCGCGCTCGGTCGGTTGGGACGGTTTCCATCCGCCCGGTCCCCGGAACCGTTTCGGTGGAGAAGGTCCCTGCCAAGAGGTCAAGCCCGGACTCGGATTCTTAGGGCAACCTCCCAGGCTGGCCGTCACCTCGTGCTTTGGGTCGTTTTTGGGCACTGGGAGACCTGCACCCACCTCACCCACCCACCCGTTGAATTCTGCTCAAAAAGGTCTTCCCCAACCGAACTCGCAAGGCCTCCAACTTCACAGATGCTCAAGAAGCCTTGGAGCAAGGAGCTTGTCGGGGAGCCCACCAGTGGGGGCACCGCACCAGGGGTGAATGAAGAGACCGAAAGGATAAGCCTCCCACCGTTTTGTTACAGGCCAAAACGAGACTACATAAATATATATATATATGTCATATATATATATTATATAGTACGTATCTATATGTACTATGTATCTATATATAGGCGTTTGGGGCTAAATCTTGTAGCTTGTGTCTCCACCAAATAGGGGACAGGACCCTATCAAAAGAGTCAAAACCTACCGGGTCAGTGGATAGCCTTTAACTCTTTTTTTGGAATTGGTGTACCCACTAAACAAGAACAGGTACTAGGTGATGGTTTCAGATGTTTTTATGTTCAACCCTTACTTGGGGATGATTGCCTCTGACTCATATTTGTCAAGTGGGTTGAAAACACCAACCAGGGTAGAAAGGTTAACCTATTATATAATGTATTTTCCAGCCAAACGGCTCGGGAGTGAGAACAGACAGCTGTGTAGAAGCGTATCCGCATGCTGGCAAACCGCCTCTTAGCGGGTCCGAGATCAAGCCGAGAAGATCTTCAGTTGGAGCATTTTAGAAGAATGCGAATGACCTGGTGTTGTCCTGTAAAATCCTAACAAAGGCACTATTCAATATGATGGTTCTTCGGTCAAGGCGATTGAAGTCCTTCGGGTCTTTGGAATCCTATAGGGGATCAATCTTCTCAGGGCACTCCGAAGAAGCTTCGACGTCCCTCGGACGGGACACTTCGCCGGCGAAGCGTCCGGTGAGGTCCCAATGCCAAGCAGGCGTGGAGCGCTGAATGGTCCAGTAGTTTTGGAACCCTAGGGCTCCAAAAAAGGGGTGGTTGGGTGGTTGGTGGCGGTCTAATAACCAGCTTCTGAGGATATGGTTGGAACCCAAACGGTGAAGTACCTACTCACCTTCAACAATCCGAAAAGGAGTTACCACGGAGCCTTTGTCGGGTGATGGATCCCCTTTTGAAAGGCATCGAAAGAGTTCGGCTGGGGTACCCGTTTCGAGAAAGGCACCAAGCAGAGCCAAACGCCATCCAACTGCCTTCCGTTCAATCCTTTTACAGCTGGTTGTCAAATCCTTAGTAAAGCAGCTTTAAGGTGCTTCGGTTCCTTAAAACAATATTCAATATTGGTGGGCCAGGGGCAATCAACCTCATCATTAAGAATCCGTCAGGGCCACGATGGTGGAGGAGGAGGACTCGCACCCCGATCGAAAGGCGCAGCTGCGTTGCTGTGGTGATCGAAGGAGGTCGGTGTGCCCTAGGGTTCGTGGCCTACTGATGTAATGGCCTTTAACCCAACTACCCTAAGGATCCTTGGACCCTCCGTTGGGGTCGAACCCTTTGTAACAGGGGTTCCTCAAACAGCTTGTTGAGGGTCCGGATCCTTAGGTACCGTACTTCTATGAACCAATTGCAGTAATCAGGTTGATCGATGATGTATACCCTGGAAGTAAGGTGACCCGAGTCTAGCGAACTGGACTTATTCTTTTGGGTTTACATTTGTTCCAGGACCCTCCTGTCGGGGTGTCTATTTATAGCCCCGTAACGCTGTGATTCGGGGTGTCCACTCACCACCCCTTGATTGGGGGTGCTGGTCTAACCTGTATATTACACTGTATATACCCTAAGAATCCAGGCCCTCAGACCCTTGCGAAGATCGAGGGCCAGGTCTCTGCCTGCCATGGGGGCCGCACTTTCAGCACCTTGGAACCCCCCACCGGCCGTGTGCTTCCCAAGCAGGGGGTGAATGACGGGCCGTGTGCAAGTATATATGCAAGATAGACGCTTTCTTTGTGATGAAGCAATATAGCCGTCGGTGATCAGAGTCAAATGCCATGGCAAGGATCGCTCAAAGGAAAATTGCTTACTTAGATTGGCATATTGTATGATACATATATGTACAAGTATCCTCCAAGAGGTCACTCACCAATTGAGACCTGTTAGGGCCCAACAAACACCTCCAGAACCCACTGGAAAGGCACCTGGTGGTTGTTCTGCCGGAAGAGCCCTGCAAACTCGAACGCCGAGTTCTCGTGTTGTCTCCCGTCAAGTTCGCCGAGAAAGGCCGCATCTCAGTGGCTGATCGCCAGGAGAACGACGGGCACGGGGGAAAGACATTGGAGTGTGCGTCCTACCATCCATGCCATCCACTGCAGAGAAAGGAACCAAGCAGCTTCAAAGGAATGGTATTTTTTGGCCACAAGGAACCATCACCCCTTTGGAACTTCAGAAAGTCAATTGGTCATGTTTGTATTTGGTGATTGCCACAATTTAATCCTAATCAGAGACGATCATTGTAAGAGCAGCGCAAGTAAATTACTCATGGTGGTTCTCAACGAAAATTAGTGTGGTTTTATCTATGGGCCGACTTAGGCATGCATATACTACGCTTTTTCAAAACCCACGAGTACCCACTGTCGATGGGAAAAACACTGAATATGTCCACGTTCGTCAAAAACAACTATATATATATATATATGCATGATATATATGGCCATGGATCAAACCTGGGAAACATTGCTTGACCAACGAAAATGAACAGACTGGACAAAGACTGCTAGGAGATCAAAGCCGACCGGAATGGGCGGAGGGGCTTTAATTTGGAATGGTCGTCCACAGCATGTCCGACCGTTAAACATCCGTTTTCTGTTTGGATTCAACAGGTCGTCCTGTCAACAGGTCATCCCCACGATCTACCGACCAACCGATCTACCACCGTCCGGACGCAGGTCGTCCCGGACGGCGGACGCTCCCGGCTCGCCGAGGACGAGATCCTGGCGGGCGCCGAAGAGGCGGTGCGCTGCGGTGCCGAGTGCGGAAGACCCGGGCAGACCTCGGCCGGACCGCGGTGGTGGATGAAATGGGTACGGGGTGTGCCGGATGCCTACAGTGGTTTCAGAGTAGAGCAACCGACCGAAACCAAACAAGCTGTGAGAGCAACAAACAGTCTCGGACCATGCACGAAGAACGATGCAACTGCTGGTGTATTATAGATGTCACAGAGCTCATCTTATGAGATGTTTTAATCATCACCATTGGACATTGAAGTGCTATCGAAGCTTTGAAACCAATTGGGAGACCCGAGATGGAGGGTTGAGCAGAATCACTTTTTTGGAACAAAAGTGCTTGGAGAATCTTCCTGTTACAGGGCTAAAACTAGAATTGCATGAACTGTTACAGTCGATTATATATATAGATGATACACATGCATATAATACTTTCTAACTTATACTGTAGTTGATGTATAGCCATATAAAACTTTGAACTGTTTTTGCCACCAGAGATCCCTCCACGGCAAAGGGATGCAAAGGGAACAACTCACGATTTGAACCTTTCGCGCTGCTCGATGTCAAGGCCCATGGGAGAAGGCGCTGGGCGCAATATGTCGCGCTCTCAATTCTACTCCCAGACACGACGAATGGGACTGGAGTATATCATACAGACACTTCATGTATGGCATATTTACCTACATTGACCCCCCTGGCACCAACCCTGGCCTGATCGGCATAGTACATGGAGTCTTTGGGTATGCTTCTACATTGCCCCCTGAAATCAATCCAATGGTATGCAGACGCAGGCATAAACAGGCCACTGGAGTGTTTGGGACTCAATCTGATTTTGCAGCAAACGTGTGTCGATGGGTTCCATGTCGCGGTACCTTTGTTACAAAAAAAACGGCCGGATGGCCTTGGAGACTGGTTCTTTGACCAGGTTTTTGGTGGAGTTGTTTGGGGGGGGTTGTGTGAACTGCTTTGGGTGTGTAGCTCAAATCCGACACTGAACGGCGAAACCCGAGCCCCCTTTCCAGCTTCGGGACATCGACCAGAACAAAATCGCCTTGGGGCAGAAATGTTTGCCCATGAAAATACACACCCAAGTGGCCCAACAGCACTCTACGAACGGGTTCTCCTGGCCGTACTACTAATTCGGAGCGATCCGGATGCTACGAACCGGATGGTCCAAGTCCTCAGTCCAGAGCCGTCACTCACGAGAGAAGCCTCGCCACCTCGTCACCATCAGGACGGCCACTATGTGGGCGGCACGCCATGGGAATGCCGACTTGGCACCTCGGAGACCAAGGGACACGGTGGGCTGTGAGGATGAAAGTCCGGTACTTCCACCTCCGAACCAAGGGTTTGGAGGGTATATGATATATATATATATATGTATACAGTATATATGAGGGTATAAACATTGTATAAACCTTTGGGGATTGGAAGGTTCGACCTTACCATGGAGGGCCTAGCGATGATGGATACAGAAGCGGCAACGCGGCTATCTCTAGCTTAGATATTTCAAAGCGGCAAAGCCATAAAGTAAAACCGTGAAGATCTCCATATACCAGCACCACCCCAGACACGACGACGGGTGGTTTATGAAGACGGAACATACCTCTTCAGGGGGGGTTCAACCGATCCGGACGGGGAACTCTGTCAACGCTGCGAACGCTCCTCTTGACCCGCTCACGAGGTCCGATTGCTGGGTCTACACAAAGCCGACATGAACCTTCGTCACTTGGCCCGAACGGCCGTCAGCCTGATCATCGAAAGGGGATGACACTCCGAGAGAAGGCCACATGGGCCTCACATGGAAGTGGATCCAACGCTAAGAAGTGGTTCCTGTGCCCGTAGATGTTCGACGGGAGAGGTTGATTCTAGTTCATTGAACACTCCGAACCAAGACATGTGTTCATATTGAGAACTATTTCTCCCAGCATCAGCGAGTTGATTTGGTATGTTTGTTACAGCCTGATAATCATCGTTTTGTTGCATCAATATCATAATTCCCCACAAGTCCAAAGACCCAGTAAAACCTGGTCTTTTACCTCCTTGAGTAGTGTTTTTTTCTGTGACCAACTCCAGTAAAACTCATTGACTTGTAGGGATTGATTGTCAATGAATCCTTCCAAAACCTCCAAGATCTACAGATCCTTTACCAGCACCCGACTCTTCTTTTACAGGTCTCCAGATCTCCATGGTGACTAAGTGGCAGGTGGTGACCTGTAGAGTTGGGTGCTGGAGGGTGCTGGTGGCAGTGCTGGTATGTGCTCACACCCTAAGAATCCGGACTACCCTCCCTGCAACAATGAACCTGGAAGATGGCCTGGTGAGTAAAGGAAAACAGCCTTCATTTCAGCGCCATGTCCTTGACCAGAAGCAATTGAAATGGTTTTGGTTCGGGTTTCGACACACCCCTTGAGAGGGAGAAGGTCCATTTCGACACACCGCGAGGGGTCCAAGGAACTGCTCGGCCAGGTTGCCGGGTCGGCATCTCCTCCAGCACTTGCTGGTGGAAACATGGAGCAGCATGTCCTTGACCACTCATCAACTGAGAAAAGCAAAGCACCAAGCCACCGCGCTAGTGAGAGGAGATCCCATTTTTGCAGACATGGGAATACACTCAAGGTCGCCACTTTTCTTGGGTGAGGGGGCGACACCGGTTTTCTAAAGGTGTTGCCGTGCAAAAGTTGACTCAGTTTTTTTGCTGCACAACCGCAGATTCATCAACTCATCAACCTCACTCTTCAACTGTCTTCAACATGTCCGACAAAAAAAAAAAAAACGATTTCAGTGGGTTCCTCAACATCCTGACCAGGTTTCAACCAGTTTTCGACCAGGTGAAACGTTTTCGCTTCGCTAGCTCACGCCTTCCTCGCTCGCGCCCGAGGGGACGCGCGTGGATGGACGGCGGTGCTGTGGGGCTCGCTCACCGGCGATGCCGGGAGCCCCCGGCGTCGGTGCCGGGAGCGGTGCGAAGAGGTTGAGAGCGTCCATTTGGACCGGATTTGTGGCGTGGGATGAGAAGCGGGATGTGAACTTCCATGAAGGAAAATGCTAAACATCTTCCATGATCTTGGGAAGAAGTATGCCTCACATCTGACCTACTCTTTTTTTACAAGATGCCTTTGGATCCTTTTTGGGCTCAGTTGGAAGGTCCTTCGTCCCCATGTGGAGCGATGGATGATGGGGGTTGGAGTGGAGGCCAAAGCAAAGACCCAGGTGTTGAGTAGAACATGGTCCCTTAATGGAAGATTTGGAAGACTACTTGCCTTTACGAACAGGGGGGTGCCATCCAGCTCCATGTGTTCGTCGGAGTGCTTTTTATCCGTTTGTTTTTGCCAGCAGCGTGCGTTTTCCGCCTTCGCGACGAAAAATGTTCCACGGACTGAGGTCCAAAGTGACAAGGTTTGGGGCAGGTGTTGGCACAAACAAGTTCTCCCCTACCCAGGAAGTACGTGGATCACCTTTAATTCCCATCTTTAACCATTTTTGGGGGGATTGGGGTGTCCCCCCCCCGAAATATGAACAGATAGACAAAGTTCTTCGTTTTCGATGTGCGTTGGTGTGACTTCTAATTCGTTTCTTGCCACCTTCTACCGTCGGACTCTAGAGAGTACCAGGTCACGTGATGCGTCGAGACGATCGAGAGATAGAACAGCTGAGATCCATGGTTTGAAACTTGAGGGAGTCAAGAGAAGATCCATGCTAGGACCAGACTGGCACCAGACTAGGACCAGACTGGGTTCCTAGAGGTTTTCTGGAGTCAGAGCTTGAACTTGTCTGACTTTCCAGGGAAACTGAGGGAGTCCGATCCCAACCGGTCACTGAACCGAGTCCGAACGACCTGGTTCCAGGCCTTACCTTAAAGGCGGCCACGGGACGACCGAAGCTGGATCAAGGACGGCCACGAACTGAAGATCCAGGTGTGTTTTGCTTGGATTGGTTATTAAACAGCTTAACTGATCACAACCCTAAGGATCCGGACCCTCAATAACAAGCTGTTTGAGGGTACAAACCCCTGTCACAGAGGGTTCGAGCCCTGCTATGGAGGGTCCAACAGACAATAACTCGACCACGACATGACGTTGTTGAGGCTGAGACCATCGCTGTTCTCCATCACTTCAAGGCACAACTGCGACCGTCGCAGCAAAAAAAAAACGACGACACGGGTTACAGGTCGGGTGTTCGAATCCTGTTTCGACTGCAAGGCCACGTATTTGCCTGTATTCTCAGTACCCTAAAAGACAGTGATGCCAAGACTTCCACCAGGAGTCACATGTCCTTTCTAACGAACCGGAGGAAGTCGGGGTGTCCCTGTCACATCCACGAGCCCTGGATGGGACCAGCCAAAACCACCCAACTCCATGTGACTCTTGGACTCCTGGCAAGAGTCCTCTGGTTTGGACATGTGGTGTTTGCAACCGGACCGCGACACATGTCAAAGAAGACCCTTTGGCCCAGTCATCGACCCTTTGGGCGTGAAAAGCTTCCGCTGCTATCGATGTGAGACCGACAGGTGAGAGGTACACCCTCTTCAGTCCGATTCTCGGATCCACTTAGAACCGCTTTAGCACCCTGGGTCACTGTGGCAGAAAAGAAACTGCAGCGCATGATGCCGCGCATGATGCCAAACCGTTCCAGGCATCACGGAAAGTCCTTTTCAGATCACTTAGGTCGACCGTTTGAGAAATCCCCCTGTGTTTTTTGTATGTTTTTGTGTATTGCTCAATAGGAACATAGCAACTTCGAGTGAGGAATGCATTCCAACATATTCCGACCGCCAGTTCTTAGACAGACGCCAGATCGAGAAAGGTGTAGGAAACATGCAGCCTCGGTTCGGTCAGGATTGGAACATCGAGAAACGTGGTCTGGTCAGAATCGAGTCGTCGAGGTCGCCCAGAAAACACCAGTTAAGACAAGCAGACAAGTCAATCGTCCAGAAGCAGACAAGCACATGCAATGTTCCCCTTTTTGCGGCCATGTTTGCACCATGTTTGAGCAGACATGCGCACGCCTGTCGACTGGCCGATGCTGTCCTCCCGGTAAGGCAGAGCTTCACCAGAAGAGCTGGGAGGGCGATTCAGCCGTGCACCTTTCTGTCCGCTGTGATCATCACATCGCTTTGCAGTTGCGCGGCAGAACAAGACGCAATGTTTACGCGAGCAATGTTGTTGCGATGAAAGGGGGAGGGAGCCCCATTGGTCCCCGCGGACAGGGGCGTATGTATGCCCGAGCCTTCAAAGACGATTACATCATATTAAAAATACCAGGACCCTCCAAGGGGTGCCCAATGGAAGCCTATAGGTAGTGTGGGGTAGTCCATTGGACACCCCTTGGAGGGTCCAGATATGAGTTCTTTGGTAAAGACTATGAAAGCCATGGACCCTCATATGGAGGGATCAGACCCTCATGTCTGGGGTCTCGAAGACCTAGAGAACGGGTGGGACCGGGTGGGGCTGCAAATGAAGCGTTTGGGTGAGGACACTGGGAGGATCACACTGGATATCACCGATGATATTAAAGCAAACTGTTGTTTGTGGACTTAGGCTTAGGGTATAGCCTGAATAGCCTTCTTTCCATGTTGGATATCTATTATACTGTAATATTATAATATACAAAGTTGATGGAGTGTTATAATAATAACATTATCTGCCTTACAGTTGATGGAGTAACAGTTGATGGAGTGTTATACACTGAGGTACAGTGATTTTGTGTTATCTGCCTTTTTGTGAGTCGATGCTCTGACTTGGGACGTGCGATCTGATCAGGCTTCTACTGGCCGCCAAGGCAGATGTGGAGGTGCAATACGGTGGACGTTGGATGTAAGATGTGGCGGCTTCCGAAAGCCAAGAATTGCTTTGCCAAGAAGTTCTCAACAACTGAACAACCAAAAGGTTCATATATATTTAAATATACATACATGTTACATATTACATAATATTATGTTGTTTTCAAACCTATTTGCCACCCAGAAAGGTTCCTGTTATTTTGTTATATTTTGTGAGTTATCAGGGTGGTTGTTATTGTTCTCTGAATGAGGATTGTCAGCCGCAGGAGAAGAGCATTGAAGGCCATACACCACTGCACTGTGCAGCTCTCTTTGGTAGTGCGGCCCACAGTTGTGGACTTCCAAATGTCGTCGTCCTTCTCTCCAAACTCCGTGCAACATGACTAGCTGAAGACGTTTGAAACGTTCTGATAGATTGTGTTCGGTTGGCATTCTGACACATCCAATCCGGTGAACCTTTTGGCCACAAGTTCAGGAAAACCGCCTTCTGTACAAGACTAGACTGACTGGATCAGACCAATTCACGCAAGAGAACTCCTGAAATGGACTCCGAGGAGATGAAAAGGATCGAAGGGAGCTGTTCCCAAGATCTGTTGGACCCCCCCCGCTTCTACTCGTACCACCGCTGTGTGGGGTGCCACGCTCCGAGGCACCAAAGCCATGGTGGACCGGAGACCCAGTTGGAGCAACGACCATTGGACACGCAGAGTCACCGGAACTGGAACTTCAAGGGGTCGCGAAACATGGAGATCCCTCATGCACGTGCATGGTAGTCTATTGGAGACCTACGTTAGGTACAAGGTGCCACCTACGTGAGGCACTATGGACATGGATGGGTCATGAAACTCGGCATCTTTCGTCAGGTTCTGACCAACGACGTCCGACCCCAGACGTGATCAACTGACGCTGTTCGCCAGGTTTGCAAAGTCACCTGCCAGGTTCGCGACCTGTTCGGCCCCGAAGCAACTGCTACGTGTTGGTTCGGTCCAAAACCAGTTTGTGAGGGTCAAAGCCCGCTATGAGATGCTATGAGGGTCCAATGAGCCTTTGGGCTTTGAGAATATGGGGATATTACTCGATATTACATGCTAGAATCCGAACGGATTGTCTATAGTCGCAGGGGTCGGACCCGACAGCGAGTTGGCCTCAAGATCCTTTCCATTGGTTCGGGCCCAAGGATTCTTAGGGTAAGGGATATGAAGGGAGATGTTTGACGGAATTTCAGACGACCAAAAACCAGGTCAAACGCCTGAACTGCGAGGTATGACGGGTCGAACTGTTTGGGCGAAGTCTCAAAGCTGCGAACTTGAACTGAAGGTCCATCAACCCATCCATCGGAGAGTCCTGGATTCACCGGATCCATCCGGATCCAGTTGAACCCCGTTGACCCGGCCAACATGTGGATGCAACCATCGGCGGCCCATCCGGTTTCAGCTGCTGATGAAATGGAAAACTCCGGTTCGATCAGTGTGGATCCAACGGACATTCCACTAAACAAGCGCCGAATGAAGTGGATTCATGTTCTATTCACAGCCCTTCAGAACATGTGAACATATAGAACTTCTCTCGTGGCTCTTTATTCATCTTTATTCAGTATCTTCTTCAACTCAAAAAAGTCATCCACTGAGAAGCGGCCCGCATCGCAGAATCCAGGTGCTCCTTCACTATGGTGGTAACCCTAGCACCCAGGACCCGCCGTTTTTGTACTCTTAACGTGCCGTTTGACCGATTGATGCTCTCGAGTAGTTGGAGAAATTCTCCGCGAAGCATCCCCCGAGATGAAACATGCAGCGTTTGGAATCTAGAGCACCCACATTTTTGATTGTGTGTGCTGATTTCAACTACAACGTGGCTCTTCAGAAGGACTCTTGATCACAATAATATGATGTTCTGCAACCTCAATACTATATGCCCAGGGGCTCCAAGTACCTTCTCAGAAGGTACTTGGACCCTCCAAATGTATACATAGCAATGCCTACCTTCTGAGCAGGTACTTGGAGCCCTAAGGATGTATAAATCTATAAGTCTACAAATGTATGATTTCATGTTCGGTGTGGGTCTTCCATATCATCTCAGTGATCCAGGACAAGCTCGGGCGGCTGCCGATGTTTATTGCTGCCTGTGGCACCTCTCCAAAAGCCTGTGAGGCGCCGTGTCGGGTCGGGTCGGGTCGCACCGGGTCGGTCGCACCGTTGCACCGTTACGAACGCGTTAGATCGATCAACGCGGTCGGAGGCAGTGAATTGGCACCTTTATACACACCCAGTGCCTTTCTATAGTGCTTACTTTCAGTGGTGTTCGGGTCGGCGACCTGAAATGGAAGTCGGTCACATGAGTGACCCTCCTTTGGAACATGCCATCATGAGCCCTGTGCGTTCACATGGTCTATACGACTGCAGGGCTCACCCTCAACCATCTCCCACTCCTCCGTCGCCAGGTCCTTTGTGCCGGAGCGCTGGAGGCCGTGCGGACGGGTCACGCGGAGGACGGACGGGTCACGTCGCCGGAGGACCGTTGACGCGGCCGCATGGGGGGGGTTTGGTAGTGAAACAGTCACTGTGTGGGGAAAGAAATATCATACACCGATATAATCCGATATACACCGTATACATTAGTATACCTGGACCATCCCAGACATGGGTGTCCTGGCTGGAGATCCCCAAGTAGTGCAGGGAAGTCCAGTCAGGACACCCAAACAGGATGGTCCTGGATGGTCCTGGTAAGGAATAATATTGATAACAGCATAGCGGCTGGCTTAGCAGTATATAACAAAACTAGAATGCCCTGGGATTCACAGCCATTGTTTCAATGGTCTTTACCATGTCTTTACCAAACAACCAACGTTTTGCTATATCGAGGGTTTTAGACTACAATGCCAGATCAACCGTTTTTGCTAACGGTCTTTGGCATCACGGTCTCAACCACCATAGATCGTAGCATCTCTGTTGAGCAGTCTTCTTCTCTTTTGTTCCATTGTGACCAGGTCGTCCGCAGAAAAAAACACAAATCCCAGACACGACTATAATGGGACTGGAATGTATACATTGACCCCCAATGGTCCGGCAAATATGGCAGTTTTATTGAATATGTCTGGGAATGATTTGCCCTTTGGAGCGATTCGCGGCATCCTTCGCATAAAGCGAGCGCCCAGGCGTTGCCGCAGTTACCGGTGGAGCTACCAGAACCTGAGGAGGCCGGGTTTGGCCGAGTTCGCCCGGTTCGATGGAAAGCCCGGGTTTGGCCGAAGGAGATCGAACGACTATCCCTGGAAGTCCAGGAAAGACCATTGAATTCCAGGACCTTCCATGTCGGAGTGAAACCATGGAAGGTCCTGGTTGAAATGGTCTGAAGTGCGACCCGAGCCGAGGAATTTCCTGAACACTTCAATGGACGTCCAAGGAGTATGGCAGCCCCCGCAACACCTGTGTGACCTCTTACGACAACCACCGGTGGCCACAACGAACATGCTTTCTGCCGGCCACAACCCCAGACACTCCATGGTCCATGGGCATGTTTGCATACATTGGGGTGGTTTCAGGAGCCAATGTAGGCATACAATATATAAATTGCTATATATTCCGTATGTATGGAGTGTCTGAGGACTGTTGTATCCCAAAACCCAGCCACAACTGTGCGTTTTTGTGCACCTGGTAGCCAGAGGTTCATGTCAATCTTCGAATTCTCAAGTCCAGACACTCCATGTACCCATAGGGTCCAGGTACCCTTTGAGGATGGTCTGGGAGGTGAGTTACTTCCAGAGAATGGTCTTGAAGGGGCAAAGACCATCCTCAGAATGGTCCTGGACCCTTAGGGGTAGTAACGTACTACGTCGTAGTATCTTAAGGATCCGGACCTTCAAAAACAAGGTTCTGAGGGTACAAACCCCTGTTATACCCCTGCGAAGAAGTCGGGTCCAAGGATCCTTAGGGTATGGTATATGTAGAGATGTGATCATGTACATTGGTTACATGGACATGGCATATTTGCCGATTAGTTGGGATGGTTGAAAGGGGTCAATGTACCAGCACCTTCAAAGGGGTCACCTGGCTGGAATCCCCAGCCCACTACTTAATTTGGACATCCCTTGAAGGTTCAGGTCTAGGCATATGTTCGAACATACCATAACATATACCTAAACCTTCCTGTCGGGGTGTCCAGGCTGGAGAGAAGTACAGGGATTTCCAGCCGCCTGACCCCGAACGGAAGGTGCTACATGGAGAAGAAAGACTCCTATAAGTTGGGGCATTTTCTCCGGTCCACCGCCATCCCGCATCCCGCTTCTTCTCGCTGTCTTGCATCCGCCTCCGGCCTCCGAGTTCGGTGAGGAAAGGCCGGGGAGCTCCAAAGACGGCAAGGCCGGTCGACCGGCGCAGTCCGTCGCTGGGTCTCCCAATCCGCTTGGGCGGTTGGGGGGAATGGGGAGGGTCGGATGAATCACCCATTGGTGCGGTGAACGAGGGGTGTTCAGGGCCTTCTTGAAGCCTCAAGCGCAGGCAATGTATGGCAATATCATGTGTGTGGGTCCTTGAAATGTGTAATCGTGGTGTTTTGCAGGAGGAACAATCAATTGACGGTGCAAGGGCACTATGATTGGTATGTTCATTTGGGATGTGTTGTTCTTCATCATACTTCTTTTGAAGACCTTTTAAGATCCTTTAAGTACCCTCCTAGAAATACAGTTCGACCATTTTGGGCAACACCGTTTAGTGTTCGGGACACTCCGGAAACGACTCGGATAACCGAATTCGTCAGGCCATTGAAAATTGAACGTGGTCGTTCCTCAAGTTAATCAACATGGGTTTAAAATTAAGAAGCGGGGATTTGAAAATGGTCCATTCAAAAAGCAGTCTAATTTAAACATGGTTCACCTCTCTTGGACGCTTGTCTCGCAGGCGAAGGCAAAGGCCGGATCAGCCCCAGATGCGTGCCGTTGTCCGAGAAAGACCAGGTCGAAAAAATGGGGACAGCCTTCTGGTTTTGTGGTTATTGAGTAAAGCATAGTAAAGCATAGTAAAGCCATGGGTTCTTCCATGCTGGGCTAGGAATCTGAACCCCCAGCTACGCCAAGACCGTTTAACCATAAAATACCATAAAAAAGAGGGGTGAGTTGAGTCATGGTTTTGTGTTTATCGTCCTCAGATCCATCAAACAGCTCGGTTTGACGGATTCAGACCGAAACAACAATGGGCCACCGGAATCGTGGGCCCACGAAACGAAGTGGCTTCACCCTCAAGGCACTGGAACCATGGTGGAACCATGTGGAAGAACTCGGAGGTCCCGCCACCATTCCCAAACGATGCGGCCGACATGTACCACCCAAAACCGTGAAATGTAGGCATACGCCATACATAGAGCCTTTGGGATTGGATAGCCTTGGCACCAAACAGAGACGGAACCACCGTTTTTTAAATCCGAGTCCTTGGAAACGCAGGGAACGCTCAACGTTGAGTGTTTGAGGGTTCGGTATGGATGTGGCCAACTACTTTTTGAATGGTGACCAAACGAGGGCTGCGGTCGGGGACACATGTCGCTTTTCGGGGCCACCGGTCCACCGGGCACGCGGTCGGTGTATGCGCTCCATGGTTGTCGCTGTCATGCGCTCCAACTCCGAGACGCCGAAGTGGTTGGAATTCTCATCAGATCCGGACACCCCAATGGCTGTCATGGCGGCAATCCCCGATCTCGTCCATTGGATGCTTCATCCAGCACCAGCACCCCGACTTCACAGGGTGTTTCCTGGTCGCAACTAAGTGTCCAGAAACCACCTGTTCGGGTCTCCACAGAGGTCTGGTATGTCTTATGCCAGGCTCAGAACGGCAAGTGGATGACGAGCTCGGCTCCCCTCGCCAGTCCAGCACTGAGACCGTGGACCGAGCGCCAGACCGTGACCGAGGAGCTCCGTCACATCGGGCGGCGTGTTCATGATGGACCCAGAGGACTCAGAGAGGAAACACGGACGCCTGGCACTAGTAACACCGTCCTTCCCCTAAGCCCCAATATTGAAAGAAGAGTGGAAGGAAACATCTAAAGCGTTTGAAGAGGAAGAAATATGAACAAAACTAAAGAATAAAGAAAACGATTAAGAAATCAGAAAAAAGAAATGAGACAATCTAGTAACATCGGGTAACTACCTGATGTTAATATACTGTGTAGTATTCGGTGTGTATATATAATATATTCATTATATATATATATATATATTACATTCAAGTATGCATTCCTGTTCCTTTTTAACTAACATTGTCCAGGCCATATCAAGACCTAGTCGGTCATTGTATGATGGAATAATCATCTCCTGCGCCACCTGGAGTCAGCTGCACATCTCATCTACGGAATCATGACCTAAAAATCCACTTACCATTCCCAAACACTCCATGTATGGCATGCCGGCCTACATTGACCCCGACTTCAACCACCCCAATCTATGGATTCATATGCCAGTCCCAGACAAGTCGTGTTTGGGATTTATAGCTAGTATAACCAGTGGTTCCAAAGAGCAAACCCACAGACCGACCCGGAAGTCCTGGTTCCAAAAAAAACAGTGGGTAACTGGGGTCCTCTGGGATGACCTTTCCTGGGTCTTTCCAGGACTTTTTGGCTTTCCCCACACCGCTCCTGACCTACCTCCAAGGAGGCTACGCTTCAGTGCTTAGGGGTCTGGGTGCGTCCAGGGGGGCTCCGAAGGCGCCGACCGTCGCGTCCGTCCGAGGTGTCGCTCCGCCGAGCAGGCGTGGCCGGACAGACCGACGGTCGGACGGATCCGGGACGTTCGGTTCCGCGCGGTCGACTGGGGATCACCATGAGGGTTGGGTCTTGCTTTCGGTGAATGCCATGTTGCGCCATGCAGGTGAATTCTTATGTGTCGTTTTGCCCTGGTGTTGCAATGTTGAAGGCAAAGCCATGCAAAGCCTCTTCCGAGCAAAAGATACTATGCAACAGTAACCTGGCTGTGATCAGCAAGAGATTGTTGAACGAATAATAGCTGCGAAGAGTTCCATCTCCATTTCCCTAGGCTTTCATAATGGTTTCCCAAACAACCATTGTTGTACCATAATAGTTGTAATAATTAATAGTCTGGACTACGACCAACTCAACCTTCCTTTTTATGGTCTTAAATTCTTGAAAGGCTAGGGATTTGGTTTTCCGTTGCTGCAGTGGGCCCAGCTCTGGGAACGTACCGTCTGACACCCTGACCATTGACATTGCTTTACCCCCAATTAGGTGGAGTTTCCTTCCTGCTTGCTTGAATCCAATGGGCCTAAAATCCGGGTCCCCAGCCAATTCCTTGTCCGACTCTGCGTTTGCGTCTGCACAGGAGCAACCAGCGGCCCAAGACCCTCCTGAACCCCTTGGGCGCGGCCAAGGGCTGAGACCGGTCGACGTGACGAAAAACCGGTCGCCGAGACGCGGAGGCTGGGTGGATCGGCGAAACCAAAGGCCACGTTTCTAGAGGCGTTAGGAAAAAAAAAGAGACCGAGTGTTTGTTAGTACCTGGACCCTTGAAGGGGTGTCCAATGGACTACCCCACACTACCTATAGGCTTCCATTGGGCACCCCTTGGATGGTCCTGGTATATTTGCGTTTGTTTTACTCCAAAATGGGTTTGCATGTTTCTGTCTTCACTTGGGATGGCGCTAGAAGTCCAAAAACGATATCTAGTACCACCCTTACCCTGGAGATCCAGTTACCACTATAGCTGGTAACCGGTTCCAAAGACTAAAACCATAGACTTAGAATCCCTGGTTCCTTATATGGTGGTAACTGGGATCCACTGGTTTAGATTCAGGGCTCACCGCTGTTGTTTTTCGATTTCAATCCGCTCGACTGGACTCTGACTGGTCAACCGTTCTGATGAGGCTTACCGCCGGGACAAGTGCATGATATAACACCCAGACACTGACAGGATGGTTTGGGCCTTGTCGTTGCCATCTAAGTTCAATTCACTTGCATCCTGTAGAAGTCCAAGGACTTTTTCACTTGCTTACGGGTGCCACCCGTTCGATCACCCTCGGAAGTCCCGTTCGAGGACCGCGCCGTGGTTCTTCTCCGACCATTTTAAACATGGTCTTTCCTGGACTCTCGTTCTATAGATTGAAACTAATCATAGCCTCATAGCTTATCATACCAGGACCATCCTGTTTGGGTGTCCTGGCTGGACTACCCTACTAGTACCCTATGCACATAGGTTTGGTCTCCCATTGGAAGTGCTAGGTAGCTGGTCTTCTTTATCCCCTTTTTCCTGCTGAGGCTGAGGGGTCTGAGGCGCCCGGGTTTAGAAGCGGGTTGAGAAGGATGGGTGGCCTGGGTTTCTCTAGTTGGACGGATCTGGGTGAGATCCTGTCCACTTTTTGAAGAGTAAGGCTACGTGCTATGTTGATGATGTTGACTCAGTTTGAAGTAGTCCCACTCCAACATACTCCAACCTGAAATGAAGAAGTTAATCCGGTGATAGAGGTTGTTGAAACATGGGGAATACCGGAATGCATATTGAAAACGACTTCGACTTCAGCAAGTGACTGCGTAGAAGTTGCACAATGGATGAAAGCACCAAGTCGAGGTAGTAGCCAGCCTTAGCGAAAGTTTTAAACCGGTGCGACGAGAGCGAATCAGGGTGGTTTATATTTTCAGGTTCGATGGTATTCGACCCCCCTGGCACCGACCCACCCCAACCACCTTCACCTCGGGATGTATGTGGTTGGAGCCCTAGGGATGACTCTATCGAACTTGGATACCCCACCCCTCAGGGCTCCATTGGCGTCTCTGCCGAGCAGTCCAGTGAACACCTCGTCCGACGCTTTCGGATCGGATCGGACCGGACTTCGTCACGTCGGACGGCAGGGCCCCTCCGCCGTGTCATCTCGGAGAAGCTCCCACGACAACGCCGGGGGGGCGCAGAGGGGCGCGATCCGAGCGGCAGAGACAGAAGAAGTCTTTTGTGAGATATCCCTATAGGGCTCCAACCACATCCCCAGGTTCGGTGGTTGGGGTGGGTGCCAGGGGGGGTCGAATACCACCTTCAGTGGATATGGTTGGAGCCCTAGGGTAGTATAGTGGTCCCCAAATATAAGTGGCACATAGTGGCACGGTTTCCAAGACAATTTTAGTGGGGATCTACCTTTACTATCGATTTGGGGGTCTAAAGAAACTCCAGATCGCCTTCAGTTCGACCGTCGACCTTTCAAAAAATTCAAACACATGGGAAAGACCTGGTTTTGAAGTGTAAAACCTCAGTAGCACAATGGTCTTCCCTGGTTTTGAAGTGTAAACATCAGTTAATCATCAGTACCCAAGGGTTAATCATCACAATGGTTGTTTGGGATTGATGATTCACCCTTGGGTACTGAAAGCCGGACGAGTTGTGGAAAACCTCGTCATTGCGACGCAAGAGTCGGTGCAGGTGTCAACGACGCACCGTTTTGCGGGAGCTATATGACTACCAACCCCCTAGAAGCCCTAGGATTGAAGACATGACTGCAGAAATCTGCCTGGTGCCATGTGAGATCCTGTGATGACCCAGCTTTGTTAGATTTCTTTCGCAAGGCCAAAGAAAGCATGGACGCATGTCATACATACGGCTTGCGAAGACTGATTGCAATGATCACGTCCTTCCCAGGCAAGAGGTCCTACATCGGCCCATCCGTCTCCGTGAAAACCGCTCTGCTTCCCAAGGTCTCAAAATCGATCCAGCCCAAAGGCTCAGAAAGGACCCAACTACCCGTTCGCTCGGGTTGTGACCCTCACAACGAACGGGTGACATGGACCGACCGAACCAACATGGGTAGCAGTTGCCCAACGGGGCCGGGTCGCGGCCGGGTCGCGTCTGGTGGGTTCCGATCCCTCGTCCGCTTGGAGCTCTCTTCGGGCCCAATGGCACGATGGCACCGGGTGGGACTCCACACCCTATCGGTATTTGGCTGAAAGCATTGTCTATAATATTGGTGGGGACTGGGGTGGGTGCCAGCAGGGTCCAGTCATACCTTCTGAGGTTCGACTGGAGTCCTAGGGTCGGTACCAGCACCATCCAGTGCATCCAGATGCATCCAGCAACCTCCAACACGTGGTCTTGGGACATCGGTGGTCGTGCCTCCTGCCCTTCAAGCCCGTCCCGTGCCGCCCCGGCCGGGTTCCCCCGCCACCGAGGCCTCTGCCAGGTCCGGCTCCCGCCGCTCCAGCGAGGCGCCACCGACTTGGCGAAGAAACGCTTCGCAGCGCTCGACCAGTGTTCGCAGCACCGCTGGGTGTTGAACCAAATACCAAGAGAAGGGGGGGAATAAGATGGGATAAGACCGAAGACCTTGGCTGTGCGCGATGATGAGAGTGAATCAGGGATGAAGTGTGTTGTGATGGTTTCCCTGGGTCCCGGGTTCAGCAATTTGGAGCACAGCGTGGTCGCTGCAGCGGGTTTGGGGACCGAAGAAATCCCAAGAACGACTACACTCCCCGAAAGAATCGAAGTGGAACAGTTCGGCCCCTGGAAGACCATTTGTCCTCTACAAGGGGGGTCTGCTCAGCTTCCATGATTGTTTCAGGGAGGGTAAATGGCCTTTGGATGGTTTTCGGGTGCTTCATCCACTCCATTCCAGTCCAGTCGACAGTGGTCACACGGTGATGGAGTTCTTGCAGTAGTGTGTCGCACCGGTGTCACGCTGTTTGGGGCCAGACCACGAGAGAATGCTCCATGAGGTGAAGCGAAAAGGATCCGAAGGATCGAGTACTTCAATTTGGAAAAACAATCCCAGACACTCCATGGCACGGCCATATGCCGCCCTATTGACCCCCCTGGCACCAGTCTGGGATTGGCTTTTAGGACGTCCTTGGGCACTTCGAACAGCGGTTTCCCCGCGCGGGTCGGCTCGCAGTGTTCCACGCCAGCGTCTCCGGTTCGGAAGACCAAACTCTCTTCTACCCGGCCGGGCTCCAGTCGTACCTTCTAAACCAGGACCATCCAAGAGGTGCCTATAAATAGCCTCTTAGAGGTAAAAAGGGTGTCCAAAAAAACACCTGTTGAAAGGTCCTGGAAGAAGGTGTTTAGGGTTTGAGCGAGTGGAATTGTTGGACATCTTCCGTTCAACAGGATGTTCTGGCGTAGCCTCGGATAGACCCCCGACCTATCAGCTACGAAAACATCCAGGGGCATCCATTAAACACACATATCAAATATACCAGGACCCAGACACTCCACGTATGCCATATATATGCCTATACATTGGGGTGGCAGTCCCACTTCCATCGTCGTGTCTGGGATAGGGAGACCTCCAAAAGGGTAGCCGGGTTGACTGGTCGAACCCGTTGGAGCGTCTTATCCCATTTGGGCTCCGAACGGCTCCGAACAGGTGACCGGAGGTCTTCGACCCCCAACCAGCACCCACCCCAACCACCTTCACCTGGGGATGTGGGCCAGGAACCTAAAAATTCCTAGGGTATATATTCATCAGAAAAGACCATGGTTTGGCTCCAAAACAGGTATCACTCAGGTGTGTATTGATCGGATTTGCAGATCCATGGCCCCATACTTTCAGGAACCGGCACAACCATGCACAAACCTTGCAAGATGAACCCATTAAAGGACAAACTGACAAACCATATATAACGTAGGTTTGTGCCATTGACTACTGAGACTACTGTAACCATCATTGTTACTGGCAATGGGATATACTAGTGGATATACCGTATATCCAACACAAAAAACTATAATGATTAGATGGGGAATCCATTTGGCGATCCTTGCACCGGTCCACCACGGCAGGCGCAGCGCACGGGGTCACGACGGAAGTCCCGGGAGGCCGGGGAAGGTCCGACGTTCAGAGCTGGTTTCAACAAGTTGGAAGTCCAGTGAAACAACTTGAAGTCCAGTTGGTTCCCAAACATGCCCAGCAACTTGGAAGTCCAGTGAAAGAGCGGTTTTGGGGCACCTCCCAAGTAAAGGAAAGGCCAAGTTCCTCGGATCAATTTAAGGGCGATGTTGAGAATAGTCGACTGAACCTGCAAAGAATTGATGTTTCTACAGGAGACGAGGCGCGGGAGGCATCCAAACGGTGTTTGCCCTGACAAAGGCAGGGTATCTCAAAAGCAGCAAAACCAATGCTTCATCGCCTAGTGCCCCACACAACCACTTGCTATGTAAAGGATCTCAATTACCATATTGTGACATATTGGAACAACCATGTGTTTTTTCTGGTTGAGATTGGGTTTTCAGGTAGGTGGAATCTTCTTTGGTTTTTCCCCGAACAGTGTGGATACACTAGGTTTTTTACCGTAGTTAACTACACGGATAAATTGAAGCATCTAGAAGGAATTTGATGGAAGTGGAGGCTGCTGGGGGTGCTAGGGCGGCTCGATTTGGCCAAAGGATGGCTGTGGAACAGGTGCCAAGTGACTAGGTCGGTAAAGTTGGATGTTGTTTTTTATAATTAAAAAAAATAAAAATATTCTATCATTTTTCAGTGAGGTGCACCAAAAATGGAAGGCACTTGATACCTACTTACTCGGTGCCCTGTTTGGAGAGCTATTTATGTGGGGTAAGGGTAGGGTAGTCCAGCCAGAACACCCAAGCAGGATGGTCCTGGTAGAGATGCAAAGAAGTCGTTCATGGTTACTACTGGTAGTTAGCCATATGGGTCCTGGTAACTGTTCATCGAGCTCACTGACCCAATGTGCAGCTGTTGGTTGCTTGTGCACCCATCAAAGACGGCATTAGAGGTTCTGTGTGACCATGTACCGCCTGCATAGGACAAGTGTGACCAGTTGTGACCAGCCATGGTGACCAGCCAGATGGCCTCTTACATCTTACAAATATATTTTTGGGATTATCTATGTGTTTCAATGGTCATTACAACGAACCATTGTTTTACTCAGGATTTTAGACAACGACACAAGGTCCATTTTTCGGGGGGTCTTTGAAGGCGAAGGGGCTAGGGTATTGGTTGCTTAAATGAGGGACACCGCCAAGTGAGTCGCCCAGTGTACAACCAATAGGCCGGTATATGGGTTAGACTCCTCTATTCTCCCAAGGTTGGACATCGTTGGATGACACTAGCCTTCCGACCATGTTAACCATGCTTGACTTGGTTGACCATGTGTGCTTAATGCAGCTCAGGTGTTGGATTAAAATCACAATGCCTGACCAAGTCTTGTGTCAACATCCTAGCCTGTCCGCTCGGTGGACTTAGTCCAGGCAGTCGGGTCCAAGGCTTCGAAACCACGGAGCGCATGCCGACGTTCCGCGCCAGGTCACCTCGCGCGACTCGCGCAGACCGTCGCAGTCGAAGGCGCCGACCGAAGACCTCGCGCAGTCGTGGCTGCGAAGGTCCACCGATCAGACACTGACGATCCGGACTGCCGCCCCAGACAGACCCCCCCAAAACCACGTCATTACCCTGATCGGCAGTCCTATGGCACTCCCATGGAGTGTTTGGGCATTCATCGGCATCAATTCGTTGGAAGACCTCGTGGATGGTGCGGTTGGAATGGCGTATGGTTGGTCAAGCAAGGAATCGGGACCGATCCAGGAATCTCCACCAGTGACCCGAACACCAGTTACCGACCTCATGGGCCTAACGGCCTAACCTCTCGACCGAACCAACCAGGTTTTTTCGTCCGGACGGTCACGAACTGAAGATCCGTTTGCAGCGGTTATATGAGCTTATCATAAGGTGGTTGAGATGATATGGTTCTACGTCTCAGGATATGATGTGGTCGACGATCAATATGAATCAATATGACATTTATGGCTGATCCTGGGGACTCTTCCCATGACCCTCACACAGCATACTGCCTGTAGCCGCGCGGGCACCGCGTCCACCATGCTGGTTCAGAATTTGAGTTGAATCTAAGAGACTATATATTATATATATATATATATATATTTGTTTGAAACTGGAAAAAAGATGGTTGTTCCTATTTGGCTTGCTTGAGGATCGATCCTTCATGCATAAGAAGTGGCTGGGACTGGGGAAACATCCAATATATGGTGCTTGGTTGTTATGGTTGCCAGGTAAAAGATTTGAATTGCAATGAAAACCCTTTGGGTTCTTGTCATTGATGTCAATGTTGGGATTGTTGTGTTGATTTTAGATTATCCTAGTACGAGCTCAAGCCATTTACCCCTTAGATCAGAAGTATAGGTAGACAAACAGGGCTCGCACAGACCACTGTGTCATTTCTATGGACGACAACCAACTCTCCGACGAAATCCCTCACGGGGTCGTACTCATGAACCAGCTTCTTCAAAGTGACCTTTTTGGAGTCCCCTTACTTGTGACCTGTTACAGGCCCAACTACGGAACCAACCAGGATTGGCGCAAGGAACGGTCACGAACTGAAGAACCAGGAAGAGGCTTCGTTGGATGTTTTGGGGTCTCCAGAGATTGGCTCAGGATGGTCTTGGGATTCAGGCAGACATGGAACATTCATCGCGAGCATCACATGGAACATCGCCGGGGGGGGGCGTTGTCCGAGCATCACATGCCAAGTCGCACTCGGCTGGTGTGGAGCGGAGCTACGAGCGGAGCTACAGCTCGCGACGTCTGACTGGGGCAGTTAGTCATAGGCTGACTGGAATTCTACCCCAGACAGAGAAATGCACACCTGGCAGTCCCACCGCGGTTCGCATTTGGGTGAGGTGATGGGATCCAAAGATGAGGCGCAGCGGCGCGGAGCGCCATGGCGGAGCGCTTGACGCGCTTCCGCGCGACGCCGGAACGAACTCCTCTCGGCCTCCGCGCAGAGGGTGTGTTTGGAAGGTTGGCATGAATGTCGCGGCAAAGCAAGTGGAGCATAGAGGGTCCAAGTGGATCAAAGAAGTGGAGCATAGAGGGAATGTGTATTCAGTTGACTTGTGTTTCCATGGTACACTTAGTAGCGCTGTGCCGCTATGAAGGCCTTACATGCCCAGAATGAGGCTTGTCACCCATTTGACTCGCTTTGTTCCAATGTTTGGATGACCTGCACTCATCTCTGGCAAATCAATTGAAATTGGGCAAAGCCACATCTACAGATTGGCGGATACATATACCATATGCCCATTCTTTTGTGCCGATTTCACGTCTTTCTTGATGCTTAGTTTCTTCTTCACACCTCTCAGAACCCCTTGCTCCCGACTGAAAGGAACCTCCAACCGGTCCACCGGAGTCACACAGGCCAGCGTGACGTTGTCCGATGGCTTCTCCAAGGAGATACCCACATCCAAGGATGAGGCGATGGGCGTTGGCGCTTGGCCGGGTGGGTGTGGCCGCCTCGTCGGGCACATGGAGCAAACCTCCTCCAGCTCATCGCTGACCTAGCACGTCCTTACTGGGTGCCCTGTCTGGAGACCTGTAAGTAGGGTATATAGTCTGTTGGACACCTATTGGATGATCCTGTATAGGTTTGCACTTGACGAGTTTGTATCCAGTATCCGCATGTTTGCTAAGCTCAAGAGTCCTTCGAAAGCATCTACCAAGCGACGAAATCAACAGATCCAGCCTGTTCAATCACCTGGCGCCAGGAAAAGGGGATCACCTACAAAACCATTTTGGGGGGATTGGTTTCCCACTAAACATGAAAGGTTAGCAGAAAATGTTCCCTTGGAGAGGAGGAGTCAGAGCAGATGGGATCATACTCAACACAAGTGTAGTTCGTGTGGGTGTGTATGGAAGAATCAGGAGACCCCTGGCCCTGGCCCAACGTGTAGACTGGTCTAGTTCCCTTTTGGAAAGGGGGTTTGCCTGAAAGGTCTCCATATTTGAGCTACAGCTACACACCCATTTAGACATACTCAGGAAGAAACAAGGATGCGTTGGTTGACCTACATGGTGGACTGGTCGGGCTCTATAGGGTTTGACCCATCCCAATGTTGTCGCCCGCTTCCTGAGAGGCGTGGACTTTGATTGGTCAAGAGCATCTCCGGCGTTGCTTATGACGTCGTGAGCGGCGAATCATCGGCGCGAAGGGGACGCTGGTCGTCCCCCGATGGAGCAGCAGACTTGACATGGGAGTGTGAGTCAAGCGTAGGAATTTGTGTGAAGGATAGATTAGATAAAACTTCATACCCAAGGCTTCCAGCCACCATTGACTTATTCACTTAGTCAAGTTGTTTTTAAAACAATTTTGTATATAATATCTATGTGACTCTTACCGAACCTCCTCAAGATGTTACGACACCAGGTCGCTCCAAGTCTAGGGATAGATCCAAATCCCGTGCACACCATCACCTCCCTTTGTTTTATGCCAAGACCCAAGAATGAGTTGGATCTCCTCGGCCTCTCATTGGCGCGGCGCCCGATCTCCGCTCAAGGGCCGGATCCGGCGGATGTGCGGCGTTCGGATCCTGCCAGGCTGCTACTTCTGGCCGCTCAACGACGGCTTCGGAAGATGTGAGGGATCTCAGGAGAGCGACCCGTCCCGAGGCCGTCGATGTGAGGATTCTCCTGGAGAAGCTGAGGAACAGAGCCGGGCAAGATCAGATGAGCCTTCCAATGTGCTGCATCCTTCAAAGTGGTTCAACCGAACATTGAGAAGTAGAATCAACATCATTGCTCCTGACAACTGAAAATTGAGTAGTGGTTTAAGTATCATGAACCCCAGTATTCCGTGAGCATTCCACACCTTTCGGATGTGCCGCAAGCAGGACTCATTGAGTGGAGGTGGATGGCCCTGAACAGAAGACTCCTGTAGTCAACAGGGTCTGGTTTTCATATGTGTTCAACTGTGTTCATGTGTTTTGCTCACTTCCATAGGGCTTAATGTTGTGTTTCTTTCAGTGCACGATGATAGGTGGAAGATGTTTCAAGACACCAAGACACATAGTAGTGTACACTGCAGATTTAATTCGAAGATGTGTCAATTTGTTCAAGACATCTTTATGTATATATATAGTATCCTTTGGTAATGTAGAATATGTTTTTTTTTCAGAAGACCCCCCATACATGAAGTTGCAGTTCCATCTAGCAGCTGGGGATGTTCTTCATCGACAGCCTGCATGTGTCTTGTAAGCTCTAAGAATTCTGGGCCCTCCCTAGGAATCCTTGGGTTCTCCATGGCAGGGGTCGCACCCGACCTCTTGGCAGGGGTCCGGGCCCGAACCAAACCCTATCTCTTTGAGGGTGCGGATTCTTAGGGCTGAAAGAAACACACAGGACGAGTGTGGTTTGGGGGACTAGACCGCTGCGATCGGTGGAGAAGTGAACGACCCAGTGACCGAGTCCGACCGACCTGGCGTCCAATCTGTTTGAAGCGACGTGACATGAAGTGACCGACCGAAAAGCCAGGCCGTTCCACGTTGAAGTGACCGAACCAACCAGGAGATCGTCCGTCCACGAACGGAAGATCCAGGTTGAAGACATCCCAACGGCCATCTCCCCGCTCGACGGAGCTCGCGCCGACTGCTCGAGCGGACGGACCCACCTCCCACGCCAAACGGCTCCAGGTCGAAGCCGACGAAAGGTCCAGGAGTGCAACGGCTCCTCGTGAGGTGCTCAGAGAGTGAGCAACACGGAGATGACGTGGTGGAGGCCATCCTCCTGTGACTGGAGTGTCCAACAATAATTAAACATAATTAAACTATATATACACTGTAACGTATACCTTATAGGTCTCCAAATAGGGTGACATGGCGGACGTGGGGGACACGACATGGCGGACACGACAGGGACTTGATCACGGACGCGTTTTGTTTCGGGTTTCCAACGTGTAGGCGCCACCGTTTCGGGTCTAAAAGGGTTTGTTCGTTCAGGTGTCAAGCCACCAACCTGTCAGAAGCCAACTGTCAGAACCCAAGGACTCATGAGTTCTGACCCAAAGGACTCATGGTGCGACGGTGAGAAGTGGGAGACGATACGAATCAGGAAATTTTTAATGGGTTCTATCCGTGTCACACCGGTAAAAAACCAGCCTTGCATTGTTTGGTTCATATGCTACTATATACAAAACAGGGACTATGTAAGGTACTATATACTGTATATATGTTCTTTTTGTCCTTACATATATATATATATATATTAATATATGTCGTTTTGTTGTTTTCGATCTCATGTGTCTTGACCTCCATCCGCTTTCGACTGTCCGTCCGAGGACGCCAACTCGAAGGGAGAGACTCCGCTTCACGTGGCGGTGGATGCTGGGCAGTCCTTAGGCGATCGCGTTCACGTTGGGGCGACCGATCGCGAAGGTGATACCAGGCTGATACCGCGTTCACGTTGGTCATCCATGGACTGCTAGCCAAAGCACTGCTAGCTGAGCAAGGCCGATAGGACACACACCCATTGGATTGGGCTAGGTATGCGAGGGTGCTTTGTTTGGGTTGGTCCCATTACGTGTAACAGTCGGTAAACAGCTATCACTAGTTTAAGGAAGGCCTTCACTAATCATCATCATCCACTGTTACTGGTAATGGGATATACTCCATTTGTATGTATTTGTGACCCACGACTGAACCTGTTCAAAGCTTGAAATAATCACTGGCCAACGTGGATGGCATGGCCCAAAGGATGACCATTTTCCTACATAAACTGGTGCTTTTCCACTTCCAGGATTATTTCAGGGAGAGTACTATGATGGTTGATGACCATAAAGCCTTCTCCAGGGTTTAGACCCCAACGTGGTTGGGTTCAGCATCCTTGGTCGGATGAGTGTGGTGGTCAGCATGGAGACTGGTCTCAAGATGTCTCAAGAGTCCATGGATGTAGTGCTCCGGTCCGTAGTTTGCTGGGGGTGAAGAGGTCTTGAAGTTGAGCTCTTGCGTGATTTTATGCGATTTTATCAAGTGTGAATAGCTTGCTGAGATACAAAGGGACTGTTGGTTGGTTCGAAGTGGTCTTGTCGGACAGTGACTGGGTGGTGGCTAAACTTTGGATCGTGGCCTGATTATAATTTACTGAAAGAAATCATGGAAGTGGTCATCTAACGGCTCATTTTCCACTTCCATGTTTATTCCAGGGAGCGTGCCGCTTGCTCAATTTTGGAGCAATTACCCTTGTCCTACATCGGACCAGTACTTCAAGAACTGGGTGCTTTGGTGGGATTTCATCATCCAATTAACTGCAATGGCAAACTCAATTCTTCCGCAATTGCCCCAAACTGCTGGGCCTGATTTTGGAGGGATCGGACCCGAATCCTCAGGTCAGGGGTTCTGATCCCTATAGCTTTTTGCGACCTCCGCGGAAGTCAGGCGCTCCTGGGGTCGTTCCCAAAAAGGCCCGAAGGCCCGGCACGGCCGGGGCTCCGGTGTCCGGTGGACACCGGTTCGGTGTCTCGCGACCAGGTCACTTCAAGGTGCTCAGTAAGCTGGTGGATTTGCAGGCGGATGTGCAGCGGATGTGTGGATGTGCGGGGGGGTTTTCCCGGTGCCTTGAAGGGGCTGAAAGGAAGATCGGCCGGTATGGAAAACATCAGCCGGATGGGTGCCAAGGTTCTTTCGTTGGATGAGCATGGCTTTATTGATGAACATGACATGTGTACGAATTCATACTCCTGTCCTGACTGAGATGACCACTTCTCCAATGGGAATCAGTGTGCAGATGTATGACCAAAACCCAGTGAAAGCGAGCTAGTTTATGCCTACGACGCTAACCGGGGCCCCGCGCGAAACCACAATTTACATAAATTTACATTTTTTTCGGGTTTGCAAGACGTTTTTTACAATTGTGTTGACATGCGCGGGGCCCTCAGCTTCGTATGCACACTGTTTTCCTTTGGGGGATTGGGGTGGGCAGGGGCCTAATTTCCTCCGCTTGCACGCAGCCGGAACACACACACAGCCGCAAACATGCAGCATAGTACCGAACTTCGTTTTGCGTTGTGTCTTGTGGTGTCTTGTTCTGGTGCTTTGGAGCGTGGAGAGTTGGGACGTGTTTTGCTACAGCCCTTGCAAGCAAAGCTGGTGCCACCATATAGTCGACCCCCCCACAGAAAGGTTCGAGGAAGTACAGGAAACGCAGCTGTTGGATGGCTTGAACCCCAAGAAATGCGTGGTGCTTGGAAGCGAATGTCCCTCTTGCGTAACTGCCTTTTGCGGAGGTGAACCATAGTAAACGTGAGTTTACTCAAGGCCTGAAAGGTCGCAAGAAGTTTTCCCACCAGGCATCCGTGGCAGGCACGCAAACTTTGGACAACTTCTGGAAACTTTTGAAAAAGTCCATGCCCAAGTCTTTACATGCTCGTGAGATGGAAGTGGATGCCAGGGTAGTGTCGCAACGGCTGTGGAGCTACGCCTACAGCTTTCAGCTTCGATTCGCTGGAACGCACAGGGCTTTCGTGACGGAAAGAAACGTCGCTTTCGCCTCGGCCCTTCTCCAAAGCAACCTGTTCTCCCCAGTCACCCTGGCACAACACGTGCCTTTTATATTCTTTTCTACTGAGCCTGCCAATGCAAACAGAAGGTGACCTATTAAGAGCCTATCTCCAAAAACACCAAAAACCCAGTGACTTGACCGCTTTGTATTGGATGTGTTGCAAAGAAACGTTCGTTTCGCGCGGGGGTTAGCGTCGATGCCTAGCTTATGGACACATGCAGGAAGTGCGTACAAAAAGTGATCTCCACACCTTTTGGGGGAGCCTTGACACCAAATTGCGGCCGCCAACAGAGTAGAGTAGAAGAAAGTGCGGGAAGTCGTGACTCGCGCAGGCGTTGTTGTTCCGCAAGTTCTTCCATGTTCCGTTTCAGTCGTGGCTTCGACGTGCTGTGGAAGGGACGGGGGGTGACACGAAGTGCAATGCAGTGGAGTTCACTTGGAAAGAACACTGTCTCGAGAGTGGTCCAACGGACAACGCACGGCAAGCCAGTCAAGTGCAGCGTTGCACTTGAAAGCAAGCGGCTTTTCCAGGCTTGAGCCAAATGTGTCTGTCATGTACACATATGAGAGGACACAGAGGTTCGTAGCCTATCAAGCTCTCAGAAAAGACATCCGACCGTTGCCAGGAGCTTTTTTTGAGAAGAGTTGCGCTAAAGACGAGAAGAACTTCAAACGGATGATGGGACCCGATGTCTGGGTGGAGGTGGTCGCATGCTGCAACCACGAGAAAATCCTCAAGGTTAAGGATGACAGCCCTGAATCTAACACTTCCACTACTACATACACTTCCAGCTAGAGGTCAGCCTGCTGCCGAGGCTATTTTCTCTTGCTCGTGATAATGAAAAGTTAGATGTCATTGTAATGTTTTTTGCATGCATGATAATGAAAGTGCTTTGGCGCTTTAGAGTTGACCCCCAGCAAGATCAACGGTGTGCGACCAGGTTTCGCGGCTATGTTGGGTTTTAGGGGGCATGCTGGCTGATGCAGATGACGCAAAACTAATGTGGTGGTGTCAATATGACGCAAGGCCAAAAAATGTGTCCCTCTCTGGGCTGGTAAGCAAAAGCAACAACAGGGGGGTGGGCGGGGGCAGGGGGAGCGGGGCCAACTACGTCGAGACTTGTTGCATTCGAGGGGCAAGGTACACTGACCACAGGTTTTGAAGCTCAATGATGCGTTCGTTATCCTTAGGCCTCGTCTCGCTGCGCGGGACATTTTGTTTAAACACCTTGACCGGTGTTGGATTTCTACTGTCTCGTTGCTGAGTGAAACCCGTCAGTCACGTCTGTGAGCTTGGCAAAACACACAGAAAGCCGTGGTGTGCACCAATTCAATCTCTTCTGGTGTCACAGGTGCGTCCGGCTTCAAGCAGGCAGAAGACCTCTCACCTCAAGTGCACACTGTGTATACTACGTCTAGCAGTGAGCTCAAGATTGGCCTGGTGATGACAGTTTTCAGGATCACAAGGGACAGAAGGATCACTGTGGATAAGCCTTTCCCAGGAATACTGACTTTAGCGCAATGCACCTGCATCCGGGTCCTACAGTTCAAGCAGTTCACAATGCATACTTGGGCTGCCAGCTCCCTTTCTCCCGTGGTGCCTTTGTGAAATTGCGTAAGTTATTTGGTTTGTTGATGTTTGTTGGCTAGGGTGCTGCATCCTGCTGCCCAAGAGCAGCGAACTTATGGCGCGGTGAAAATTGATGATGCAATTTGTTGGGGGGTTGGAGGGAATGGTGCGCTTGCGAATCCCAATGCAGATGCTCTTAAAAGAGGGGTAACATATGCAGAAAAAAATTACCCGAGGCAAAAGGTCTGCATCTACAAAACACTGAGAATTACCATGAGCTGATCCACGATGGCAAAAGTGCCACACCCACGACTACGCGAGTCATTCGGGGTCGTGTTTCCACGTTTTACACAAAGTAGATAAGATCCGGCCATTTTGCCTTATCTTCCTCCACAGTTGAGACAACCCCACGCAATCCAACTGTAACCATGTCTGACCTGGACTGTTTTTTCTTTTGTACAGATTGACTTAGGACGATGGAAAAGAGGAAGATATAATATTCCACCAGCTTTTGCCTACAGCACAGCACTCTACTCTAAGCCGTATCACTTTGGATGAATCCACTGGAATCAAGTAGGACAAAGTACCGTGGAGTAGAGAAGAGAGGGAAGGGCACAGTGGAACATAGGGCAAAGCAATGGCAGCTTGAAGCCTAGAAGATGAAGAGTTGTGACGGTATAGTATCAAAGTTGATGGTAAAGAGTATGAAGCATGAAGCGTTGGGTAAAATGCCCGATATGCCGCCGGCCTCAGGGCCGTGTGTCATCGATCCAGTATGGAACAAGCGTTCAAGACGTTAGAAGAGGAGATAGAAGTTTGGAGCGAGAAACTGTTGGCGCGTCTTCCATTGTCAGAAACCAGCGGCTATCGAAAAGAAGGAAAGCTAGACCGGTCACTCTTTCCGCACCGCGAACTCAGTTTGGTTGCGACCCAGGAACAAGACAGCCACCGTGTGTCGGGGGGGCTCGCTCTGCTTCCTGGGGGAACGCGGTTGCAAGCAATTTTTAGACAAAGCTCAGGCTCGCCGCTATGTGATTGTGCTAGGTGCCAGTCACATGGATCTCATCTCTCAACTCACGGAAGCTGGCCGAGAGGCAATTATGAGCGGCTCCAAAGGCAAGGCTCCTTCTCCTCCAGTCGACTTCTCTGGCACGAAGGTCCTGCTAAAGTGGCGGCAGTACTGCCAAGCCTCCAAGCGTTCCGGAAGGATCGCCGAAGTCAACTCTCACGGACCTGGAGAAAGCTGCAGCCACAGCCAAGGCCCACTATGAAGAGCTGGTGTACCAAGATCTCAAAGGGCGCATCGTCGTTCGCGGCGAAAAGGAAGAGCGCGATGAGCGCTATCGCTTGTGGCAAGAGGCTGAGCGACTGGCATCAAGGCCAAAAGCCAACCCGAAGAGGGTGAGGCTGCCAAACCTCGCACCGACGGTCAGGGCGATTGACACAGAAGATCTAGCGAAAGATGAAGAATTCGCCAAGCTGCCAGGCCAGGAAGTGTGGATCGGACCTGAGCACATGCGACAGATCCCAAGGTGAGATGTCGAGTTCGGCAGATTCCGATGGATTAGCCAAGAGCAAAACCTCCCATTTGAGGGGACGCAAGGAGCTCAAGGGCTACGAGACTCGCGAGTTCGACGAAGAGGGAGCAAACCATGGGGCCCGCTCGTCGCATGCCTACAGAAAAGGATCCATCAGCGTCGCGAATGGGAGATCCTCCTCGTCATCAAGAACAGTGAAGATGAGCGTTTTGAGCTGGAAACATGGTTGGAGCGACCTGGAAAAGGGCGATACATTTCCAAGAGTGATTTATAAGAGTGAAAAGCAGAGTTTGTTTGCATTTGCTCACAAATCTTTAAGGTCGACTGGAAAATAAGGAACTTAGGAAAGAATTTGCCTTCTGGGCCAACCTCAATGTATCAACTCTTGCCTCACTGGGAGAAGTTGGGCGGAGCATGTATTCAGCGCCAGGTAACATCCAATGATGAAAGGCCACCATACATTCTTTGACCCCAATGTGTCGTACGTCAATTTAGAGCCTTGCCTGTTTTATTGCCATTACTGGACGGGCAGCGCCAGATAGCACACGGAGGATGTATGTGGTTTTGCATGTAAAACGTGAATGGTGACGGCGTAGAAGACCATACTGTTTGAATGTTTGCGATAGTCGGCGGGAAACTACTGGAAGTGAACAAAGTGACAAGTGAACGGCTGGTGCGTCGGGTTCAAGTCTGCTGTCCAGCCATGAGGCGTTCCTGGGTTTGGCAACCCATGTTTTGTGCCAGGGAAAACCTGGCACTAAAACATTGGAAGCATTGAACAGTATATAATATATATATATATGTTCTAGCTTAGTGGAATAACACGAAAAGACCAAACAAAGCTCCAACATAAGAATATCTACCGGACCATCCAAGGGTGTGCAATAGATCCCCAAGTAGTGCAGGGTAGTCCATTGGACACCCGCTGGATGGTCCAGGTATATTGTGTTGTTTGTTTTGTGGAACACTAAAACGGCTAAACCCCCCTAAGGCCCGAAGCCCAAGGTTTGCTGGCATTTACATTACAGTAGACCATGAATAAAAACAACAAAGACGAGTAGAGGATTGATTTAAAACAGCAATATTTACTTGGTCTAAGTTTGCCCACTATTAGAAGGAAAAAAAGTATCACTGTATACAATATGTTTAGTGCCTTTAGCTTTGCGGAATATTAAAAAGTACTGGAGACTGGAAACCCCTCAAGTCCCCAGATTTCCTGGCACTTAGAATTTCAAAAATTTAGTTTTGGGGAATACTCCGATTGAAATCAAGAAACAATATATAAACCAAAAGCATCAGCTGGGCATGAATCTGTCTATTTGGCAATCACTGATCATGGCAATATCGCAAGTTCACCAACAAGTGCTCTAAAAAGGGTGAGCCGTTTCAATGTACCATGCACATGTTCATGTCAATTCCGCCCAAAAAGCCCAAACCTCCCCCAAACCTTCCTCACCTTCCCCACCACCCCGGCACCCGGGCCGCATCGCCAGGCCAATTGCAACGCCCGGGACCGGCATGGGGAGACGCCTTTGATGCGCGCGGCGGCGGCCAACTACTCGGAGGTCGGTGCTTCGACACCGAAAAACGAACGCGGTGATTTGCTCGGTGGTGGGGAATGGTGCTGACCAAACAACGAACGTCACACCGAAGGCGTTGGAACTGAGTCGCGAGCGATGATCGAAGGGGCTGTGGAAATACGAAGGGGCCATGGAAAAGGGGTGGGGTTTATCCTTAGCAAAACACGGAGGACATACGGAAGAGGAGCGACCCTCTGATGTAGTTTGATGTACTGTACTAACGACATGAAGCGTTTGATTTCCAGCAGTTACTGTTTGAACATGTTCCATGATTTGCCATGGAAAAGCAGGTGATACCAAAACGAAGCGAAAAAAACAAGAGGTGGGTGTTTGTGAATTTAAAGTCAAGAGATCGAGTTCAACCCCGGGCAACTCCTGGAGATGCCGGATGGGTTGCCTTTTTTACGCCCGGGAAGTTGCTCCCAAACCGGCCAAAATCGGGGTCCCCTTATGTAGGTCACCGGTCGCGTGTCGCGATCCGAGTCATCCCTGCAGGCCGTGGAGAAGATGTTGCGAGAGCCTTCCACCCAGGTAGACTTGAAGGAGAGCGCGCCGCGCGCGCGCGCGCCGTTCACTCGGCCGTTGAAGAGACCGCAGCGGTTTGGTCCAGTCTTGTCTTCGGGTTCAATCTCGGAATTGGTGATGATCCGGTGGTGAAATGGGTGCGAGAAACATGAGAAACTGCGCATTGTCCTGGGTGCTCCACTGGATGTGTTTGATTAGGTGTCATAAGTGGGAGATATCTCGAGCAAAGGGGTGCTAGTTTGAAGAACACCCAAATTGCTCCGAAACGTTCCAAAAAAGTTTGTGCATTCAGATTCATTTGGTATCTGAGTGATGCTTGTTTGGATGACTCTTTTTGGTTTCATTCCAGTACGGCCTCAACGATACAGTTTGTCACAGTGGAACGGCCAGAAGTTGTCTGACTGCAGGACAACAGAGGGCGAACGGTCACAGCCTCAGTAAGGTCAGATCTGTCAGTACCAGGGGTGCCCTAGTCTGAAGAGACGGCAATCTGTGCCTCGCGGCTATGCCTTCAGTCGAGAATCAAGAGTGGAAGAAATGGCTGGTCTCCTGGAAGACGAAAAAACGACCAAAAGGCATTTGCGGGGATCTCCGTATTACATGCCCACATGGAGAATTGAAACCACCGGAATGTAGGTCAATGATGGTCAATGTGCCACATGCCGTGTTTGCCGTGTCGTTTGTTCCCTTCGCAGATTTGGCAAGGGCTGCCATGAGGCCTCATGAGCAAGCCATCATCCCCAGACACGACACGACCTGTTTGGGACTGGTCAATGTAGGCATATACCAGCACCGACTTCACAGGTCACCAATTGAAACCTGGGCACGGGCCTTTCCCAACCCTCCATTTCGGAGACCTGTTGGAAGGTGTTGGTAGTTGTATGATATACCTGGAACCTCGTTAGGTACCTCCTCAGAAGATATTTAGACCCTCCTGGCACCCACCCCAGTCCCACCTCAGAAGGTACGACTGGAGGCCTAGGGTGATATCTTCCAGTCCCATTCGTCGCAACGGCGCCTCAGGCAGCCCACTTGGCTGCGGACCACCCGAGCCTCCGCGCGACACTGGAACGCGCCGGGCTCGCTCAGTGGAGATCTGTGGTCCAAAAGCGATTTGCGGTGACCTCCTCATGGTAGCTCTTTCTTTACAAGCATTTGCTCTGAAAATTGTGAAGTTCATTGGGCTGTGCGGTCAAGTGTTAAATTGTGCCGAGCTAGACATCGTTTCTGGATGTTTCTGGGAAAGATGACCTTCCCCAAGCCTGGCGAGCCAAGCCTCCTCCAAAACTCGATTGCATTCTTTTTCGAGGCCATGGTGCAAGCGAGGACCAGCGAGTGCGAACTCAGGGTCGACCAATTTGGCACGATTGGATGAACGATTGGATGATCTTCCATGGGAAGGGTGAACAGTCGTTTGGGGGTAGTTTGGTGATGTTCGTGTTTGGATTTCTTCAAGATCGGTGTGGTACAGACACTCCATGAGACCGGCATAGTATATCTGCCGCCCTGTCTCAAACCCCGACTTGCACCACCTTCAAACCGCCTTTCATACCCCCGGGGTGTCACTCCGGGTGTCATACCTCGTCCTGTCTCCCGATGCTTACCTCGTCCCGCGGTGGGGAGAGTGGGTCGAGTGGGCGGATGGGATCGACGGAGGCCTTCCAACACGGACCTGGTGGTGTTTGGGACTCTCCGAACCATCATAAGAAGGCTATATTTATAGACACCTCTTGGAGCGCCCGGGTGCTGTTGTTTTCGTGTCTTTCGGGCGTCGTGTTTGAGGGCGAAGGTGGTTTTCTCCACAGAGGGCAGGATATGCAGAAGAGGAGCGCAGGACTCGAAGAGGGCACGATCATGCAAGATCTGTCTTATTAAGATCGATAGTCAATAGTCCCTGGAAATTTGATGATGGCGGGTGCCAGCTTAGTTGAAAAGCTTGAGACAAATAGCAGTCACAATTGAGCAATGCTTGTTTTTCATCGAGGAATGTGGTGTGCTGGTCAAAGGAAACGGAATATATATGCATCCAGCCCATAGGGAGAGAGACAGGGACAAAGTCATACCTAACAATGTCTAGCCAGCAACTGCCAGCAACATTGTAGTATGGCAGGCCGGCAAGGTAGCACTTCTGCAGGGACCCCCAACAGTGTCGTGCCCAGTCGTCAAAGGATGTCAAGGTTATCGCGTTTGTGTTGGTTCTCTTCCCTTTACCTGGTGGCCAAAAGGCCAAAAGGCCACGAAATCGTTGTGTTGAACAGGGTGATTCCACAGGTTGCCACTGGTTGCCTCAAATTGAACGGCGTCCGGAACCGCCACGGCCGAAGCGCCACGGCGCTCCGAAGTGGCAGGACTGGCATGGGGAAGAGCAAGGGTGCAAGCTTTACAGCAAAGCCAGTCCGAATCACAGATCGTCTTGGCAAGGCATTGGTCTTGGTATATCTTGGTCGAATTCTGAGAAGCTCACAGCTCATTGCCTCGCTTTTTTTGAGAACTACCATGTTCAAGCATCTGTGTCGATCGATCCTCCAGGAGGGGGAAACCCCTGACCTCGTAGGCAAGTTCTTGTGGCCTCGAGGTGTTTCGTTGTTTATTTGCACCCCGAATCACCTCTAAGGAGCTATCAATGGAAGCCCCTTAGGGTGTCCTGGTATGGTTTCCCATTCAGTGCCATATGCCAAGCGTTTCGTCCTCCAATCGACCCTGTCCGTACTGCTCCCCTGTCCCGTCTGACCTCGTCCGCCCCCCGTGTTCACCTCGCTCGAACGCGTCCCACGCCGCGGCGGTTCGTGGAGCGGTCGAGCGGGTCGTTTGTGGGTTCTTTGGGCATACCTGGACCATGCCAGACCTCCCAGAGTAGTGGCTCGAGATCCCGGATAGTAGTGGGCTGGGTAGTCTCGCCACACCCAGACAGGATGGTCCAGGTGTGTTTTGCCTCAGGCCCAGACCTTTCAACCTGATGATGCAGTTTTCAGAGTCAGGCGGGCGCTCGGGGTTTCTTGCACTTCCAGCGCAACCAGTCTGTCCAGTTAGCCGGTCGGGGTGCGCGCGAGAGGATGGAGAAGCTTCCGACGAAGATGACGCCAGAGGCAGATAGGGGAAGGAGAGGAAGCGGATCCAGGAGTACTCTCCAAAGTGAATGGCTTGGTCAGCTTCGGGGTTAGAAAAAAACAGAAATTACATGTATATTTTTTCTTAGCACTTCCTTACTGGGTGCCAAATGGAGACCTATAAGATCCTATATAAGTATAGGGTATTATAGGGTAGGGTAGTCTAGAAAGGACACCCAGTCACAGGATGATGTCCAATTCCGTCTTCGCCTTCCATCGTTGTCCTTTTTGGCAAACCTCCTCGGCCTATGGGGCCAGCATGGGGCACCCTGGGTCAAGAGATACGAGATACATGGAGACCGGGTGTGGTGCATCTGTCAGAGGAGGAGAGCAGGGCTGAGCAGGGCTTGGCTAATTTCATAGGGCTCCGAACGCCCCACATCCTCAGGTTGGGTGGTATTCGACCCCCCCTGGCACCCACCCCAACCACCGAACCTGGGGATGTGGTTGGAGCCCTATAGGGGATTTTCGTGACCTTTCGAACTTTGGACGATGAGATCGACCACACAAGCAGCCAGACACATGCTGCGGCGCTCCTTTTTTGCCGACGAGCATAGCCGTCCAAAAGCTGTTTGTTCGCTGTTCGCTAGGTAACCTTGACCTGTCAGACAGTCGAGTGGTCTGAGACCATTGTTTCTTCACAAAAAACCCGTGATTGGTGTGACCCCAGGCCCGAAAACCAGGCAGAAAACTCCGCATTTGGGGGCGATGGGTCCAGAGGAGTCGGGTCTTCTTCGTTCGTGTGTTGCGACAGCCCGGTGAAACAGCCATCGGTCCTCGAACGAACGACGACACCGAACTCACTGCGCCGAACTGAATGAAAGCCAGATCGGTGTGGCCAAGGACTTGGAGCGAAAGATCACGTTGCTGCTGAAGAAAGTCGTTGTCAAGCCCGTCCACATGGAGGCACCGCCCGGGGGGTCCGACCGGGTGGTGACACGTGGCGCGCTGACGACGGTGACTCGTCGCTATGCTGAAAAGGTGCGGAAGGAGGTGGCGGCTTTGAGCAGTTTTGGTGGGGCGTGTTGATGTTGGGCCAACCCAGCCAACAAACAATAGAATTATATAGAATTGAATATTAGATTAGCTAAATTAAGAAGTTCTTTAGTCCAGTCCAACCATGTCCAACCAATATTTAAACAATCATGAAACAATCTATTCAATCCAAGCCACTCACCAATCCACCGATCCGCGATCTCACCTCCATCATGTTCTTCCCGCGATGGTGCCCGGTCCGTGGCGACGGTCGCGACGATCCTCCCTTTCAGCCAATACCCAGACACTCCATGTCTCCATCTGCCATCCCGTTGTGGTGGGCCATGAGGGGTCAATATATGGCAGTCCCATTCGTCGTGTTTGGGAAGCGAGTTCTGGGAACCGGGTCCGTTTCCCCCGTCCCCGGCGCTCCTGTCCGTTTCCGGCGCGGATCGCTTTCGTCCGATCGGGATCGGAGCGGAGCGACGGCGGAGCAGCTGGACCGTTGGCAGGTGGTGATGGATCCCATTCTGGGTCGACCCCGTGGGCATTGCTTCATCGACTTCTTAGACTCCAGGCAGTTCGTGACCGGTTTTTTTCGGATGGTTTGACTATGTCAAACAGGTTTTAACTATGTCTTTACGTGTTTTTACATGTCTTTACCAGGTCAACCTATTAATTTTATGGTCTTGGAATGTCTTGGAACGCTATAGCTATGTGTTGAAGCAATGGCCGGATCGAGGCCTCTGTTTGGGGCCCTTCAAAACTCTTAGTTTTTGAGGGCCCGGACCCCTGCCAAGAGGTCGAGTCCGAGCCCTGCCATGGAGGGTCCCAAGGATTCTTAGAGAACCTAGATTTATGAATAAAGCTTTGCAGCACTGGTCGAATATGGAGTGGTATCCGTAGAGTGCCCCTTGTTTAAGTTTCCCAAACCAACTGGGCATTCCCTGCTAGGTGACCATGACCAAATCTGGGTCCGCGGGCCCCCGTGCCCGTCGATCAAGCGCGACTATAGTGGACGAAAGCTCTTAAGCACACCTCCGCCAAATGTGACCATTGCGACCGAAGCTGAATTGACGACCGATGCCTCAAGATGAGAAAACTCCTGCCAACGCTAGACGGGTCGATGTTGACTCTTCCTTTAACAGATCTCTTTCCTCCCAACAAACGCTCGGTCCGACCGTCGTGATGAACCGTCGTGCAACCGACAGTCGGTCGTCCGCGGAACGAGGTCCTCTGAGAAAGCCCTGGAATTGGATGGATCCGATCTGCTCGGGTCGCCCAAGGATATATAGAATCGATTAACACTATTCAGCCAACCCTAAGAATCCGGGCCCGTGCCATGGAGGGCCCAAGGATTCTTATAGGGTATTAAATGAATGGTGAGCCAGAAATCCCAGGGGAGAAGTTATGACTTTGACGAGACGGGCTGACCATGAATGGACTATAAAGTCACCAGCATGGTGCAGCTATAAAGTCACCAGTCTTCCTTCGATCGTTGTTTCCTGCGGTTTGTTTGGTTTCCGGTGTCCAGGTTACAGAATGGAGCCTCCATGGCAGGGGTTTGAAGGCCCTCAAACCCCCATATGTGGCCCCGGATCCTTAGGGCAGTTCAAAAGTTCCTGGTGTAGTCACTGAGTCCAAAGCACTGCACGACCTGACACATGGAGGTTCGAGGCGTAGGCCGGGCCCGGTGCAACGGAACCATGTCATGCATAGATCATGCCTTTCAGCGAGGTGATCCTGCCAGTGATCTGAACCCTTGTGTGTCACTTCTTGTTGGAGCCATTGGAGCCGAAGAAAGGCGACACCCGCAGCGAGTCATACGCCGCAGTCGCCCACCATGGCCTGTGTAGTTCTTCGGTCCCAACAAGCGAAGGGAGGTGGTGAGGGCCATGGCGTCTCCGATTTCGGGTGCCCCACATGCCGAGATCATCCGGAATCCATGATATTCGAATATTTTCAACAGCTTCCGAATGTTTTTGCTTCTATATCAAAATCATATTCCACTAGTTTCCACTTCTCTGCTATTAAAAACCAATTAAGTTTTTTTTCCAACGCTGTAGCACTTCCTCGTGCCATCTCCGTGCAGTGAATTCGGATTCGATTTCCTCGTGCTGGTTACTGACCGTCCTCTCTCTGGATGGCTTCAGGGAGCGCTAGGATTTTCGATGTCACCGAAGTAGATGGAACTCGCATGTGGTCTACCCGCCTACGCGACCCGTTCGGCCGGCGAACCAACTGCTACCCAGTTGTGAGGGTCATGTCACCCCAGTTGTGAGGGTCAAAACATGTCATTGAACCCTGGCGAATGGGTCGGGTCCGAACTCTGAGCCTTTGGGTAATTACCAAAGAACTGTTTGGATGCAAGGGCGCAACTGGAATGGTGTTTGGCCTTGGATCCAAGGCCTCCTGTAGACATTGTAGACTACAGGAGGCAAAGCGCGGAACGATTCGTGTCCAAGAAGATGGGTGTGTCGAACGTATAGGGAGATCACCCAGTTCGATGGGTTTGCCAAGGGGCAAGAGAAGATCCATGCAAATGTTTCATCTTACTCCATTCCAGCTGCTTCCGGGCTAGGGTCACCCGGCTGGACATCTCCATATACTACGGAGTCACAGGTCTCCTACTCCAGGGCACCCCGACAGGAAGCGCTAGGTTGTTTGTCCAGTTCCTGATGCTTTGGGATGGCTCATCTCTCTGTGCGTGTTGGGATTGGTAGTCACCCGTCGTACCGTACCCAATCCGGTGCAGACGCAGGGTCCCGGTACGGTACGGGCCCAAGTGCTGATAGAGGAACTGCCTGGGAAACCCCAAGAACCAGACGATGGAACTTCCCAGCCCCAGCCACTTCCTATGTACAGGATCTTAAGCAAGCCTTTAATCCTTTAGTAGCTTCCAACTATGTGTTTCTGGTAGGCACATGATAGAAATCCAGGCTGATGAGACGGCTGCGCAGGCGTGAAGTAGATGTTCGCAGCTCCAAAGCCCTCCCCGAGTTCCGCCCGGTTGCCCTTTGCCGCCACAAAACCTGCATCACGTGCGGCCTGACCCTTTCGTGCAGGCTATGGCCTTAGCCCACATGTTCCATGGGACTGCCAGTATGGCCTACAATCATGCAGGGTGGTTTTGGGTGGCTTTCATGGCCATTGGCACCACCGTGGATCTTGCGATGAGAGCGAAATCGCGAAGGCTGGCCTTCAACAGACCCCGCCCTTCGTCGCCAAGAGGGTGAAGCGATGTGAGCGAATCGGGGGTCCTGAGAAATTTGTCCCTGGCCCCTGGCATGACTCCAAGTGTGCAATCTTTTCTTAAATCAGTCTTTTCATATTGCTTCGTGAGCACCCTAAGAAATCACCTCCCTTTTCCATCGGTCGATGTTCAGTCGCCCGTCACATTGTCCCGTCCTGGGGTCACCGTAGATCGCTTAGCGAGAGCTGACGGCGAGGGGTGGAAGTAATTCTATATATTGGGTATAGTGTTTTGGGTCGCATTAACGTTGTCCCGGATGAATGTGGGCCTGGGAGGTCTCCCGAGAATTCAAAACACACCCAGATCATGTTAGATCTTCCAACTTCCAACGATGCCAAGTCGCCTTTTGCATCCGTAAAACCATGACAAGTTCGGCGATGTTGCATAGTTGGAAGTTGGAAGATCCAGCCTTGGCACTCCGAGGGCGGGGCAGAAAATCTGCGTCGTTCGGGACGTGGCCCTGGCGATGGTGCGATGAGGAAGGTCTTTGGACAGCTGGGAAGACGTGTCACGTAGTGTTGTCATTAACAAAGAAGTGAGTGAAGGGAATGAGAACTCCATTGTTTGCCTGCTTGTAGTAGGTGGAGGGTCTTGACAAAACCCGTTTTGACGTGCAGCCGCGTTTGAAAGTAACATTTAGAATTGTGTTCACCAGAAGTTGCTTTATTCTAGAAATCAAGAAACTGGAATTAAAAAAAAACACTAGCAAAACAAAGAGCAACCAAGAAAGCAAAAAAACAACCAAAAGTGCGACCAAAAAAACACAAACAAAACAAAAAGCAACCAAGAAAGCAAAAAAAAAAAAAACAATAGAAAAGTAACCAAAGAAAACACAAGCAACACACAGAGGGTAGTTTGGAGGGGCCGGGTAGGGTTAGTACTGGACAAGGTCTTTTTCTGGTGCCGGGTCAAGTGTCGCATTTTTGGTCGTTTTTTTCCGGCGCCGGGTCAGAAGTCGCACTTTTGGTCGCCCTTTTTTAACATGTTTTCCGGGGCCGGGTAAAAAGTCGCACTGTTGGGTCGTTGTTTTTTCGCATGTTTTCGGTTTTTTTTGCAAAAAGAATGACCAAAAGTGCGACTTTTTACCCGGCGCCGTAAAAAATAAACATGAAAAAAAACACGACCAAAAGTGCACCAGAAAGTGGACCCTCCCCCAAAAGTGCGCCAAAAAGTGGACCCTCCCTCAAAAGTGCGCCAGAAAGCGCGCCAGGGCGTGGACCCTTCCAAAAAGTGCGCCAGAAAGCCCGGCTGAGTTGTTCTATTTTTGTTTGCAATTGTGGTTGTTTTTTGTTTTTTCTGGTTGCATTTTGGGGTTGTTTTTTGTTTTTGTGATTGTTTTTGTTTTTCTGGTTGATTTTGTGATTGGTTTTTTGTTTTTTTCAAGATGGTAAACTTCTGGAATAAAGGGGTCTGGCAGACACACATTTAGAAGACATATCATGATACATTCAACTTGGTGGGGGTTCACGCTAACTGGGTCTGGAATCCTTTGCGGGGTTCTCACCACCTGTCCTCCGGTTCACTTCCCGGAACTGACAGAACAAGGAAAACCGGTTTTCACCTGAAGCAGTGTGCATCTCCGTCCTCCAAAGCGGTCCTCCGGAGCGGTCGTGACCGGCATGGTGTTTGGTTTAGAATGGCATGTCTGCCAGCATGTCAATGACCTAAAGAACCATTGTTGGGCGAAGGGAGTTTCGACCACCAAACCAGGGCGGGAAGCCCATGTTTTCGGTCTTCACTGTTTCGGCGAAGGGTGGACATGGAAAACCCCTTGCCGCTGCGGCACTCGGGACTCGCGAGGAGACCTGGCTCATGCTGATGGTGGGATCGTGAGTCGTCGAACACGTGAGTCGTTTGATTCGTACTCGTGTCTGGGCGCAGCGTAGAACCCCTTCGCAGCGTAGATCACCCTTTCGGACCCACACAACGACTGGTCGGACTGCTGGACTCCCCGGGGCTCTGCCAGGCTCTTCCTGCAAGGGAAGCAGTCCTTCTCTGTGAGTCGGTACCGATCCTTCAGCATCTCATGACCACGCAGCGGAGGCGTTGATTTAGATTGAGAAGACGGAAGTGTCATGTGTGTCGTGCCGACTTGCTTATCATCCTGATTCACTGGCAAACAGGTTGAACAGGAGTCACCATGTGATTCTTGGATTTCTGACCGACTTGCGGATGATAATGACTTTTACAGACAGGCTGACAGGCCTCCCAATCCTCTCAAAACGCGCAACCCCACATTCACTGCATGCCAAGAGTCGTGGGTGTGTGGATGCATGGTTTCTTGGTGGGGAGGATTCTGGACGCGCAGGACTTTACCCACTTGTGTGGCCCGATTGTAGGCCGTCTGGGACTTAATTGAGTTAGGCACCAGTTCTCAAACCAGGGCATCAGCTGATTCTGATGTGATAGATTTTGTTTTGCTGCATGCAGAAGAAAAGATGCCCACAATCAATCTCTCACAACTGATGCATCCTGCTTTGGGGCTCATTGGCCAACACATGCAGATGTGTATCTCCAAGAGAGCCTGCATTGGTTTAGCGTGCCTTGCGCCAGCGAAGCTGACAGAAGTCATGCATCCAGGGAAGATGGCTGAGATGAAAAAAACTGCGTTTCATGCAACTTGCCACATCTCGAGTCGTCGGATGCGGACATCCACGAACCGAAACCAAGGCGGGTGGCAGCTGGCCTGAAACAAATTGGCCTGATACCAGCATTTGCTACAACCTACAAACATGTTGGACTCGCTGCTTCCTTGTGTTTGCCTCATATTTCCTATTTCATCGGATGACTATATGGATCGAGTATACTAACTATATAAAAAACAAAAGTCATTGGAAGACGTTTGGATGCTGAACACAAAAAAGGATTCCGCCGCGTTCCGCCCGGTGTCGTTTCCCACTTCCTCCCGGAACCGCCGGGTCATGTTCCGCGGCTTCGAACTCGGATGAAATGAAGAGGTATATATGGTTGGAGGTCATTACTATGCTAGTATACCCAGCAAGTCCAAAGGACGGGTTAAACTGGTGCGTTGACCCACTGGGATAGCAAGAAGCTACTAGATTGGAGGGAATCTCCCAGTGAAAAACCTTCGCCTTTCCAGTTCAGCTCGGGACATCGACCGGTCTATAGCCAGCCGATTCGGGGTCTTTTTCCGTTCGGCGAGATCTCGGGGGTCTCTCTATCAAAACAAACACACCTTCCATACTCGTTCTTTCATGTAAATGAAGTACGTCTATAAGAGGACCCTTCTCCGAGATCGACGCGGCAAAATGGGGAGGAAATATCGTTGCAGATCTGAATGTTGATAGAACTTCATGCGAAAACCTTGGTGTCCCAGCCTTCAAAGGAATGATGGACCATGGTGGACCTGGCTTTGATTGGTTTTGTACTGTAAGAACGAGATTAAATCGATGGATGGGGCCACACCGGTTCAGCAGCCCAAACTGGAATTGAGAGTGGATGGCAATGATGGAGCCCCATCGAACCTCTAGCTAGGACATTGGTTTTGGTCTGTGCCATCGAACCTCTGAAACCATTGTATACCAGGGGCCCGTATATATATATATATAAATGTGGATTCCGAAACTCCCCTGTGAGTCACCCATAGCGCTTCGTCGTGAACATGAAATCCAGCTAACGTCCCTGATGCTTCCGTTCGGTCATAAACGAAATGCACTGCTTGACCTGACCTTGCCACTCCTTCGCCAGGTTGGTTGAAAAAATGCATATGATGCATACATCTCAATCTCTCCGGGCCATGGATGTCCTTTCTCGAATCGCCTGAATTCTCTAACGGAAGAAAGTCTGAATTGTCCCGGTCAAACTTGGGGGACCCCTGAAGCCACCTCGATGCAGGTAAATATTGCTATAACATACATATGGAGTGTTTGTTGTTGTTCTTTTAACCACTTCGCTCCAACCCGCACGAGTCAGCGCTGCAGCCCATATGGTGAGTGAAGCCGAGTGCCGCGAGTCCAAGGCAGGGGCGAGTCTTGAGCCGTTCGCATGACCCATGAAACCAGCCGAGCCGTTTGAGTCCATTCGCCCAGCAAGTTGCATTTATCCCAGAAGTCCAGTTCGACAATTTGTGTGACCACCAAAATTGTAAGGAAATACCCAGACTCAGGTCACCTATACCAGCGGTTAATAGTTGGTTAATAGTTTTAGAATAATTTAGCCTTTGACTCCCATGGTCCATGGTATATTTACTGCCAATCCGGCGGTGAATGAGTCCGCAAGTCATGGTATGTGTTCTTTTGGTGTGTGTTCTTTTTCCAAACCACATGAACCACCAAGCTGTTTTACTAAGAACAGCACGACGAAACCAGGTGGTTCCCATTCTGTCTTCATGGTCTTCACTGTTTCGGCGAACGGGCAGATGTTCACCACGAACGAGCAGGGACGGCCAGTTTACCTGGTCGAACATTTCTGATACCCAGCCGGTGCTCTTTTCGGAGGGTTCGTCCTTCAGTGATTTGGTCCGTCCAGTTTTCATCAATCCACCCAAGAAAAGGAAGAAACACCACTGGGACATCCTCCAAAACATCCTTTGTGTTTCTGGTTTTCATGAATAAAAATCCCCAAACCCAGGAGAAGATGATGTACATGTAATAAAATGTAACTTCCATCCTTTTCCCGGCTTCGACAACTCAAAATCCCCCGGGGTCAGAGGTCTTTGTCGCGGCTCGGACTATGGAACGGGCCGCATGTCGCTGATGCTTTTGACGTGTTTCGGCGTTCGCGGGGCGGTTCGGAGGCCCAACGCTTAAAAGCGTGGCTGAACACCGCTCGATGTCGCCTCAGTGAAGAGGTGCGCGGGTGGATTTGACACGGCGCGGGTTTCGCCGGTCACCGGAACTCGCGGTCACCGTGGAGCGGTGGATCGTTCGGCGTGACCGAGTCCGCTCGGCCCGCGAAGGCAAACTGCTTACGCTTCGGTCCATGTCACCCGTTCGTGGTGAGGGTAACGACCGCGAACGGGTTGGAACTCTGAACCTTTGGGAAAGTGTCTGAAGATCTGCCCTCACTGGACGGGAAACCATGTCGTCACGGGAAACCATGTTGAAACCATGACAGTCGAAGGTCTGACGGAGGATCTGCAGGACCGGACCTCAAGAAAGAAGGCCACGTACGGGGTTGTTAGTTGGTTCCAAAGGTTTTGAGTGAGTTCTGAACCTGGATGTTATTGGCCGATTTCAGCGCGAAAATGAGACAGACGGTTTGTAGTGGTTGATGATTGACTCTCACTTCGGAGTGGCTCACTCGGATTGGTTCTGCGAACGGACGGGTGTTTGTTGGCCCGAACGAATGGAAAGGGTTGGGGAACCGGGTCCGGAGCCCTGCGTTTCCATGGAGAAGGTCCGACCCCCATGGTCAGCCAGTGTGGATTCTGAGGGCGCAGCCAAATCGACATGTTTTGAGGAGGGAGGCTTTTCTGCCGAACAGCCATCATAGTGTTCTCCACTGTTTGACGCTTCGCGCAGCTGTGTGCTTCGCATTTTCCCTAATGGAGAACCAACACAAAACCAGAAACACACATATTGACATGCGTACTGACTCGAATGCCGCTCACCACACGGCAACCTAGGGTACCAGAATCCTGAAAAGTCAAGAGAGGGGCCTGAGAGCCTGTAGTTAAAGGCCAAACATCAACTCCACGAGACGACGAACAAGGCGAAGTGACGGCGTTCGTGCACATCTGCAGCACATTCTCGGAAGATTGGAGTAAAAGCTTGTCAACACCACAACCATGCAGGTACGTCCAGAAGGCGTCCCTCCCGGATATCAGCCACACTTGCAGCCCTCTTCGTTGGGCAATCAGCTGCAAGGTGGGATTGCCCCCTGCTGAATAGACAATCCAAAAGGATCCCTGTGACTCCAAGGGCTACACACACACTTAGACAATGGGCTTGCAGTTACATCAATTCCCCGAGGACAGGCATGAGGGAATGGAAAGGTGGCAAAGTCCGCGGAAATGAAATGTTCAACATTGTTTGCAAGTGCACTCAGAGACGATCTGATCCTCAGCGCGGCTGCAAGTCGGCTGCAAGTCGGCGGTGGGAAAATGGTTTTGGGGTATATCATGCAAGGACCATGAAAACGTTTTTCAAACCAGAGGAAAATTCGTGTCACAGCTTGCAATCAAGGCTGGTACACTGGGATGATCAGTCCCAGTATCACCAGGAAATCGAGAGTGTCTTCGTTGGTGGCAGACTCTCGTTCCTGCTGCCACCCCCTGCACAAGAAATGAAAGGTACGAACTCTTAGGAACCGAGGGAGAGCGTGAGCCTTTTGCTCCCCGCGCTGGTAGCATCTCTGATCTTCCAAGGTTGAGTGGGTTGGATGTAGCTGATTGTGCGTTGGTGGAGGTCGATGTTGAATCCCAGAAGGTGAAAGTCATCCACGGTTTCAAGCTCGACTGGATCACCAAAGAAATTGTGGTGAATAAGGGTTTGGATGGCTGGGTGTGAAAGAAAGTGTTCGTTGTGGACGATGAAACGGTTGTCCACATAGCGGTAGTATGTGAAATGGAGGCTGGTGTGATGTAGGAGGTTGTTCTGTAGCTGCTGCCATGAGTGTTCAATCAGGGTGATGGCAACATTGCAGAGGGCTGGTGACAGCTGGGAGCCAATCCCAGCGCCACGAATCTGTTGGTAAGTGTGGTTGCAAGCCCAGAAAATGCAGGTGTTGAGTGCAAACGTCACAATAGTGATGATGTCGGTGAAGCGTGCGTTGGGTTGGGTGCTTGGAATGGTGGCGGCCGATGTGCGAGTGATGGTAGGGATTGCCTGTGGCTTTGGTGTCAATTGTAAGGGTATGTGTGGTGTGTTGGGTCTGCCAATGCTGAATAAAACTGTGGACCGCTTGGATCAGGCGATGTTGGGGGACGGAGTTGAAGAAGCCCACGAGGTCATCGTTTGTGGCATGGAGGTTGATGTCGGGGGGAGCCTGTGAGAGGTAGGCATGAAATTGGCGCCAGAGTTGTGGGATAGAGAGTTGGCCTGGGTGTTGCGGAAGAAGATGCTGCAGGATGATATCGAGTGCTCTGCTTGTGATGCGGAGAAGGTTGCCTGCGACGGACTGGAAATAGGAGATGACGGTGCGACCTTTTTGCCAATGCTTTTTGGCTTTGAGATGGACTATCCCGTAGGGGATGTTGAACTCCTTTCGGAAGCCCCATTTGTATCGAGCTCTGAGACTGGAGGGGACCGTGGCTGCGAGGTGGTCGCGAATATTGTGAAGGGTGAGATGTGGAAGAGGTTGAAAGAGTTCTGGTGCTTGCCATGTGGCAAGTGCACCATGAAAGTATTGTTGGGGGCAGAAAACTCGGAGCTGCTGAAGCTCGTGATCCGCATGACGCAAGACGACTTTGTCGCCTAAATATTCCTGCAGTTGGCGGATGAGCTGTGCTGTAAAGTGGGGGTGCTGTTTGAGATGGGTTGTGTGGAGGCGCCATTGTTGTTGTAGAAAAGGTTCGGTGTGCTGTTCGAGGGATGGTGGTAGGCCTTGAGCGCGGAGCAATTTTTTATAGGCTGTCTGAATGTCTGAAATGTGAGGAATTGCCCCCCTGCTGAATACACAATCCAAAAGGATCCCTGTGACTCCAAGGTTACACATGCACACACACACACAAACGGGCCTGCTCAAACAAGAAGAGATGGAAGGTTGTTTCAAACGACGGTAATCAAGGCGGATTTTCCATCACGCCAAGAGTTCATCGAAGAAGGGTCGCTGCTATCGTATTGTAGAGCCTTCTCGTATTGTTTGCGAAACAGGGTCCAACAATTATTGCGAGGCGTCATTTCACGTCCTCACTGTGATGCTCGGCTCAGTCCAAGGGGAATCCTTTCTTCCTTGCACCAGCGAGTGTCAGCCGCCTGTGCTGTTCTGTGTTTTTTGGGGGGGAGGCAGGTATGGAATCTGAATACTTGAGAGTGGAATGTGCAGAGATCTTGCGGCGTTCAATCAGTTGTGTTGCTGGAGGATGGGAGGCAAGTTGAGGCAAGCTTTGAAAAACTGCTGATGCCAAACTTGCACAAGAGTTGTTATTAGGCTAGGTCCACATAGGGTAACCCTTGGGGTTGTGCCATCTACTCTGAACATACCATGGTGTGCCAAGGCCTCGATCAGGCGAGAAGGGGTATGCGCAAAGATTTGAACCCCCAAGAAAAGTTGATTGCTGCTTGGCAGTGGTTGTTCGGGAATATCCCACATTCCTTGTGGAATCCATTGCCAGATAGCTATTTTCCAGAAACGCAAAGATGGATGAGTTATTGATGCATGTCCAGCTTAACATACTGTGAATTATGCTTTTGCATTGTGTTTTCATGTTTGGACGTCACATCTTTGAATGATACTGCAAGCGCTCAAGATATCATGGGTTGCCGGGGGGGAAAAGTTCTGTCTTTTGGCAAAGTTCTCGTCGATCAGAAACTCAGTGCGGTTCACTGAAGGGCCATCAGTAATGTGGGAGATGATTGCGGTTCTGGGCTTTGTCTGCTCCTTTCCATTGAGCCTATAAGCAGTATCAGTATACCTTGCCTCAGCTGCTGCTTCTGGAATGACATGCACAAGCAGACCTTCTTTGAGTGACTGCGAAAAAAAACCGTGTCATGCGCTTTGCGCGTGTCACTGCGACTGGAAGGGATCCCCAATCGAGCACGCGCAAAACCACTCAGCTTCGTTTTCATGGTCATGACCGCTGCACGAGCTTCGTTCTAAGCCCGGGAAGAGACCCACATGGAAGATGAAAGTGGACCCAGCTAGAACGCTTTGGAAGACGGCTTTCCTTTGCAGCCCGACATGGCTTTCAGGTTCCATGTGAGTCTCTTCCAGAGCGTAGCTGACGACTCCGGCTTTTCTCGACGACTCCCCAGGCCTACAAGCGCTTCCGTGCCACTCTTCCAACCCTCCGACAATGCGAGGAGGCGCCACACGACGCTGTGAGCGGGCGATCCATTGGGGGGGTTGCGGGAGCGATGTATTGGGCGGTCTGGTTGCTAGACTTGGGATGTCCAGCTGCCACTCTTAAAACCTCTCAGAGTCAGAGAAGTCAAAGCATACATGAATATGTTTTATATATAGCGTTGTTTGTAATAAATTGGTTTGTTAGCTTGACCATGCTTGATCATGATCCATACTCCAAAAAATGACATCCAAAAATTCCAATTGTTTCTCTTGAGTTTGAAAGGGTCGTTCCTTGGGGTGAACTGTTTGATTTTGGTCCTTTGTTTTGGGTAGTATCTTTGAAGACATTTTGAGTTGTATCTGTTTGTATGCACGATTTTGCCAACCTCTCCGCAAACTGTGCTGAGGGTTTGTGTGTGGCACCTGTTACTAGTTTTTTTTGAACCACATCTTGAGTTGTTTCCCGACCTTTTGTTTCAAGAGAGGTTCTTGAGGAGTGGCAGTTGGGAAAAGTGCCCACTCTCAAAGAAACACAAATCATCCAGATTGACCGGATACACTAAGACTTAGTGACTTGGCTTATACCCACCAAAGCCCCCGCGTGATGTGTTTTTTTTTGGGATGAGACACTCCATAGTGTAGTTGAGATCAATGACAACCTATGTTCCCAGCGAGCTGGAAGATAAGCCTCCAAAACACAATGTGAACATCTACAATTGATTCCAGGCACGATGCCCCCTAGGAATTGTGTGTTTCACTCTTGGAGGGGCGCAGGAGTTTCCCTTGAATCCCTTGAACAACAGCATTGTTTTTGGACCATGATTCTCCCTCAGATGTGCTTGAGCATGGGGCAGACCACCTGGGCGCCCCCGAATCGGGCGCTGGGTAAGTAAGTCAGGTGGCTCGGTGAGAAGTCGGACGGTATGGACGATGGTCCCTTGGAACTCCTTGGAAGATTACTTTCCTTTACAAGCGGTGTTCCACTTCCATGTATGTGTCGGAGTGGTCGGAGTGCATACTTGAAGTCCCCCAATCGCCCCTGGCTGGGTAGACTGGTCTACATTCAATCTTCCAGAAGGTCGTTGCCTGGAAGGACTCCCTATGTCTCCCTATCCGGCGATGCCATGCGGTTGCGTAACAAGTCTAGCTTGCTACCCCGGGAGCATCCCCGCCACCGACCTTGATTTTTACAGTGGTTTTTGCATTTGACCTAAAAAATTGCATTTCGAGCCGTTTTTGCATCTTGCGCGATTCAAAAAGCGGCAAAAGGAGGAGCGCATCAAAATCCTTGAGTTGGGTGGGGTATGCGTTTTTTCGCCAGAAAGGATAGTGGAAAAACGTGCTAAAAACGCAGTGAACTTCGACAAGAAATCAATAGAAATCATGGTTCCATGGTTCCGGGAGCAGAATTTGGGCCGGCCTTTGGGCCAAAAATGAGGGCGGTGTTGGGCTCGGCATGTGCCAAGGCGCCAAACACTGTAAATTACAGTGTTTGTTTGAAGGGTTGATTCGAAAAAAGGTGTTGCAATTCTGAAAACAATGCTTTGAAGGTCCGTGTGTGCAAAACACTGTACATACCGTGTTGTTTAGCACAACGATCAAAAACCTCGTAAGTACTGCGGTGTTGAGCACTTGATAGTCTAAAACCATCAGTATTTACATTGTTTGCTGCTGCAGATGCGCACAAAACTGCGCAAATAGCTTGGTTTTGAAGCATTTGTTTTGCCTAGAGCAGCTGAAAATGTCGGTCTTTATGGTGTGTTCGGCAGACACCTCTTCAAGAACAACGGTCTTTACGCTGTTTTAGCAGCGTTGCCACCAACCTAATTTGTTCAAGTGGCACATGGGAAAGCATGTGTTTCACTGTGTTGGGCTCTTTTTGCATGTCACAACCCGGCGTTTTGCATTTCAACATCACACAAATGCATCCAAATATCGCAGAACTAGGAGATGTCGTCATATGGTCGACATGCAGTTACTCGGCTCATGCGGCGGGGGAGCGCGACCCGCGCAAAAACGCGCTGACTGAGCATTTTTTGCATTCCAGAAGACTCTGAGTCGCACAACTCTAGACCTCCACGCTTGAACCACATCCAAATGTTTGCAGGAAAACCACACACTCATGGGGCATCCTTTTTTGGGGTGCTGGAGATCCTGCTCTCAGAGCTGGAGAGCTTTACAGCCAGGGTCTGGGATGTTGCAGGTTGGGTGCATTGGACGGTCGCCACTGTTTGGGTCCCAGGTTCCTAGGTTGGACGGCCGACGGCCGAGGAAGATTGGGGGGCGGATCAGAGGGACGGCCCTCCATGAAGGCGGTTCCTAAAATGAATTCCCTACCAAGCACTCATCACCAGGGGTCACAAAGGGGTGGTGTTTAGTCGCTAAGTGAGTGGGTAATGAGCACCCCTAACCTCCATGGATCGCACCCCTTTGAAACTCCTGGCACTTGGGTAATTTTCGTGTTCTTATATGGGTGAATGTCCCTTCTGGCGATGCGTTTAGCATCCCGGTTCTTCAGCAAATCCAGTCGAACACCAGTCGAGTCCTTTTCCTTTCGGTGTCGGTTTGTAGGCACAGCCGGTCCTTGAGAAGCTTGCAGAGCTGTTGGATGGAGCCGTTCCTTGACGACAGGTCGTCGGTTCGGTGCCAAAAGCATCCAACACACAGTGCGAGTAGTCGCACGATTTTTGGGGAAGATGTTCCTCTACCTGAAAAACCAGTCGCAACATGTCCCAACCAGAAAGAAATGGTTGTTCCAATGTTTATTGTGGTTGTCTTTAAATCCTTCACATACCAAGTGGTATTGGGACTCGGGAGTGCCATCCAGAACTATTTCTGATTGGGATTGGCAGGCACCAGCTGCCTGCAGATTTCGACCCAAACACGTTTGGCATGTGGAATAATATGCCAACATTGACCTGAAGTCAACCACCCCAATGTGGAGCAAACATGGTTATACAGAGTGCTTTGGGAGAGAAGTTGCACGATTTCCCGTGACCAATCTCAAGCAGACGACCTCTTTTGCCCATGCAAACAGACGCCTGTTTGTCGCTTCCAAAGGGTCGATGGTCGCCTGTCTGTCGCGGAGGGTCGTGGTGTTCATGAGGGGCCCAACTGTGATGTATCTGGACGGACGTGATACTACTATAGTAGAGTGAGTGTGAAGAAAGGGAGTCCAGATACTACTATAGATCCTACTATAGTGTGAAGAAAGTGAGTGTCTGTGACGTACCTGATACTACTATATAGATCATCACCAGGAGTCACAGAGCTCGGGATGGTGTTTAGTTTAGTCCCATCCAGTGAGTGGATGTTCTGGGCACCCCGACTTCCTCCAAGTTCGGCACCCCGTCTTGTGACTGCTGGAATATACAAAAGCCATAAACCTTTGGCGAAGTGTTCGCTGGAACATGTGTTGGCGAGATCGTGATGGTCGATGTGATTTCGAAGGTATCTACAGCTGGAACATCTGGTTTTGGGTGTCCTGGAGACTCCAGCGGACTACTTCTCTACATTCCCGACTTCAACCAGCAGTCCCAGACAGGTCGTGTCTCGAGTCATTTGACCCTTCAAAACCAGGTCAACGGACCTCGTTGAATGGTCCAACAGAAAACCGCATGGGCAGCTGGCTGATTCCGATGTCGATTCGCAGTTCGGAGACACCGAATTGCTTGCCTAGCTTCGATGTTCTCTCAGAATTGCTGGACAATTCGTGAACATTACAATCATTGCATGGACAGGAAACCCATAGTTTTATGAAAACCATGGTTCCCCTTCTCCCTGAAACCAGTCAGATTCGCGCCGGTTAAGGACTTCCCGGAAGGTGAAGATGCTCGACAAGCCTTCCACACAGGCAGCTTCTGCGGTCCCGCAGCGTGGTGGATCGGGGGTCGCGCAGCTTCGCTTGGAGGTTCGCTGGTGTTTTCGGGGCCCCAGTTTTCCAGAAGCCCAAAAGGTATCATAAGACCTGCAACCACATACGGTGTCCGGCAAGCCACATACCACCCACGGTGGTAGACATGGCAGGGGACACCTTGCCTTCACCTCTAAGGAGCCTATCAATGGAAAGCCTGGAACAGGGTGGTCCTGGTACGTCACATCACTTGTAACATCTTCCAGGAGTCACAGAGCTCGGGGTGGTGTGGCTCGTCCCATCCAGGGGCTGTGGATGTGACAGGGACACCCCGACTTCCTCCATGGATCGCACCCCTTGGTGACTGCTGGTTGTAACATGTTGCTGCTTGGCAGATTTTCCCCACGCTTCGTTGGGTGACATCCTGATCTTGGATCAGCATCCGCGAGGGCTATGAAAACGACTTTTGGATGAAAAGCTACTTTGGGTGGAAATGTCACCACCTTCCAAGGGGTCTCTGATAGACTGCCATGCACTACTTATGGATCTCCATGTTTCGCAACCCTTTGATTCAAGGGAGTCCGCTTGTGCGGTCTTCCACCCGGTGGCAGATGGCCAGGCTTTGCTGAGAGTCTTCCTCCACATCTTAGACCGAAGCAGCAGCCCCCAGTTGCAGATGTCACCGTCATGGACCTCTTGAGGAAAGCCAAAGGCAAACGGGGTCGCTTCGAACAGAACGGACTCGGCGGGGAGGTTGGAAGCCCCCCTCATCACGTCCGATCACGATCGCCATTCTGCTGTCAGTTCGACCACCCCCGTCGAGGGGGGTTGACCAGCTGAAGCTTCGGATCCACTCACAACGTCGCATGCTCGCTGCTCGCGTCGCCTGCTCGCGTCGCCCGGTTCCTTGGAACCTCCGGCCGAGGCATTGGGTCGAGGCATTTGGGGCTGGGCATCGGTCGAGCTGTGGGGCGTGACGACGGAGGGAGCTGTGACGCCGGGTCTGAGGTGGAAGCTCCTGCAGGTGCAAAGGGCCCACGCCGCCCAAGGCACCGACACAGAGGGGCGCCATGCGACGGGATGCTGGATGCGGGATGCGGAACTTGGTGTTCGATGACGAAGTCAAGAGATGGACCTGGGAGCACGACATATACCAGGACACCCAAAGGGGGTTCCATTGATAGCTCCTTAGAGCCGTCGTGGCTCCCTGCAAGAGCACCGGGTGTCGACATTGAACAAGGATCCGGAGGACAGCAACATCGCCCGCTCCACTGCAGCTGTTGCAGGGGTGGTACTCGCTTGGAGTATCGATGTGTTGTCTCAAAAGCAGCTGGGACCCCCAGATCTACGGATGTTGATATGTGTTTTGATCTACGGGACTTCTAGATCTTCAGCTTCGACTGCCCAACTTGGACCGTTTGACCGTTGAGTTTGCTGTCTTTCTCAGAACAACGTGCCGCCCAAACCCGCGCCGGACGAACTGGTTCCGTGGGGCCTTTCGGCCGATGTCGCGATGTTTGCACTGTGCCTATGGGCTGTCTATATAGCGGCAAAAGAGACTCGTTGAGCAGAACCACACCGAAACCGGCATCCCGAACGTCCAACGTCCGGGCTCCGCTGCTCCAACGACTCGTTCGGGGGGGAGCATGGAAGGTGGCGAGGTTTGGGCAATGGCGAACCCCTAAAAGCACCAGGATACGCAGCTACTCCACCGGGAACTCCCCTGGACTGCTGGTGTGAGTGATTCGCAAATAAGAAACACGCAAGCAAAACACAAATCTGAAAGGAACACTTAAGGAACACCGTATAATCTGTAGGGATCCTCTCCCTACAGGTCAAAAGACCTCGCTGAAGGACCTCTCATACAATAGCTACTAATAATGTCCAATAAAGGGTAAGAGAATCAGCTTTTGAGTCAGACTTTGGACCTCTGTGCCCTCCGCGATGCGCTCCCTGCGCTGCGGAGCCGCGCGGCTGCGGGCGGCGATGCGCACGCGGCGCTGCACGGCGTATGAGGCGACGACGCTCGCCGTGTGGCTTGTTAGCAGTGAAACGAATTCGGCCAACGAGGGAAGAGATGAGATGAGATTAGATTTAAAAAAAAAGATACTGATGTTGCTTGTTAACACACTGACCTCATGTTTCTCATGTGTTTTTTTTCACGCTGTTCCTTGCTGTTGTTGCATTGCTGTAGGTTGTTCCTTGAGTGAACATGGATAAGAAGGAGGCTCAAGGAGCTTGTTGGTCAATGTTGTTTCATGAAGTTGGCACCTCCATGCAAACCTGACCGTTGACCAGAATAGATGAACCTGGAAAAGCAACATGTCTTGGGATTTGTCTTCGGTGTCTTGGGTCAGTAGGTGCTTGTTGAGTGACCTGGCTTCTTAGAAAGCTATGTGCTTGTGGAAATCGCCCTGTGTGAACAAACTCCAAAGGTACACTGGCACGGACCCTGATCGGTTTTTCGAAGGTGTGGATTCGGGGGAGAATTAGTGAGATCCGTCATCTTACAAAAGAAGAAACATGAGATCTCATGCACCACGAGGACCAGATCTCATCATGAGAACCATCGGTCAAACCCTTTTGAGATACCCTGAAGCTCCAAACAGCCCTCGGTCCTTGCTCCTAGTAGTAAGGTCAGGAGCCCCGTTCGTAGCGAACCTTGTTCCGTTCGTTAGCGATGGCAAGAGCCCCGTTCGTAGCGTCCTTTGCTCTTTGGGGTGATACAAAATCAGACGACGAACCATCGGAAGTATCGGACGTTTCGCTGGGTAAGCCTGAGGCCAAGCACGGCCTTGAACAGCGCAGCCTTGAATCAAGTGGACCTTCCTAGGAGTGCGCGTTTTTAAAGCGTGTCGTTTTTTCTTTTTTACTCTGTTTTACGTTATTAATCACTAAAGACAATGTAATGTAGAATGTTTTGTAGACTCTTGATTAATAAACCCCACATATGAAGAGGCTGTTCAATCAAAATGGGAGGTGGGTTATCAATCAAGAGTTTAGTTAAGTTTCTTTGGCTACCAGGGCAGGGCCCAATTTTGAGGTGTCTCAGGGTCTGGGGCAGTGCTACTGCCTTTGGATAGAAATTTGAGCTCATCTGATTGGTCTCGGCCAGCTTCGGAAGGGAAATTCGATCAGGGGCCTGTTGCAGAAGTCCATCCGGTTAAAGATATCTAAAGTTCTAAAGCAATTTTGGATTCAATAGTAATGAAATCCTACCAACAATCTATCAACTACCTACCTATATACATCATCATACATCCTATATATAGACATATTATATAGATCTATACCCACCCTAGCGCTCCTTTCATCGAATGGTTTTGACACTCTCCAGGCGCTTCAAAGGCAGTGACTTCAACGTGACCGTTTGTCGCTCCACCTGCGACACCTTGGCCGAAAGCGTCGCTCAAGGCGCGGTGACTCTTTCGTGACGACTCACCAAAGGGATTCCGATGTCCAATGATGTCCATTGACCTGGTTTTGCGCAAACTGCACCATACTGCACCGTGCTGGAAGACCCAGACATCATAATCCACATCATTGATCATGATTATTGATGTGCCCATAACCCTTTCTGGGTTTGATTTCCGGAGCGAAAGGGCTAGTTCATCTCAGACCCGACGAGTTTGACTGGAATAGGAGCCATGATCCCGGAACAAACCACTGCACCTTGCGCCATACATTTACACTTGAATGGTGCATCGTACGAAACATTCGGATTGCAGTTGGGGAGGACAATTTGACCCTCTGACACTCTTGGAATGCCAAAAGTAGTTTCAAGATGTGTCAAGCACATCGATGGACACGTATTCTCTCAGGCCACCCATTTTCCGTGAACACGACAAACCAAAGGGTCTCAGGCAAAAGAAGGATCCAAACATATCCAAACCATCAGCAAAACAGTCCTATAGAATCAGGATCTCCCCTCCAATTTGGAACCAACATCACTTCAAAACATCCCAACATCCAACTTTGAAAATGTTTTCCACACTCCTTGAGTTTAATCATGGAAGTGGATAGCATGGTCCCTTGGAGGAACCCTTTATTCTAACTACAAACAGATCCCAGACACTGCATGGGACTGCCATATATGCATGGTTTTTGTCGCTCGACCCCTCGGCAAGGCAACCATCACCATGTAGAAGGCTTGATGGTGGCTTTGCGTTTGATGATGCCCGTCCAGAGCGGCTCTGAACGGGCCTTCGCCAGGCTGGGGGCCCTGAGTCCGGGTGGATAGGGAGGCGAATTAGGTGCTTAAAGAAGCGGCCTTGTCCTCACATATGGCCGGTGCTGTTCGGTGCTGTTGATGGCCGGTGCATCGCCTCAGTTGGCCTTGTTGTTTGCCCATCTTCAGCCGTCTTCGCCCCCGACTGGTCAAAGCAGTTTGGGTTGCTGTTTTTGGAGACACGAATCAACACCCAGACCAAGTGTGTGCGTGTGGTGTGTGTGGTGGGGGGGGGGGGGGGTGTCTCTCTCTCTCTCTCTCTGTGTAACTAGCTTCAATGAACAAGCTTACAGGTGTTATTGCTGTTGCTGTTCAAAAGATAATCCTGTGACCTCCAAGTCCCTGCTAAACGTGGTTCTTCTACAGTTGCTTTACGAGGAGAAGAGATGGCAATCCTTGACCATCCATCGGTTGACGATCGATTCGAAATCGATGGTCCGGACATTGATCTTGGAAGCTCTTGGAATAAGTTAAGGATCCCTCTACCCTAAAGGCTCAGAGTTCGGACCCAACCGGGGTACATGCGCCTGAAATGGACCGAACCCAAGCAGCGTAGCAGCGTAGCAGTTGGTTCGGGTCAAGGGTCGCATCTGGGACAGCAGAAAGAGGCTGATTTCTGGCAAGTTCGTGGAACACGCCACCTACACACGTCTATGTGTGCTGAGTAGGTGCAACAACAAACGATGCAGACAATCGTGCAGTGTTACTGCCTTGTGTCAACAGTACACAGCAATGTAGGCTGCAAGCTGCAAAGCCCTGACTGTAGCAGAGCCCTTACTATGCACTTTAGAGTACTCTTGCAAGTGTGGCGCCATGGCATTTGAACTGCGCTTGTCGTTCATAACCACAACGGGTGTTCGTTTCCCTTACCAGGAGATCTACTGTAATAAGAAAGCATCCCAATCCCAGCCAGTAAGGGGGGGGCTCTCTTCACCTACTGGCAAGAGGGAAAGTATGCAGACTGAAAAGCACTGCTTGCGGGCTCTCCTAAGTCTCAACACCTAAATCTTGGAACTTAAGAAGAATCCACTTCTACCAGGCCCCGAGATGACTTCATCCTGCGGCCGGAGATCTTACAGTGGTCCAAACAAGATTTCCTCGGCGGGTTGGAGGTGGGCTCTCCGCGTGTCGACAAGTTGAGCACTTGAAAGGGAAACTCACCGGTCTTGGTTCATGGGTGTTTTTAATGTTTACTAGATGTTTATATACCGTAGTCTTCTAACCACCATCGATTTAAAGTGTTTACTGAATAATTGAATAACCATTGCTTTACTAAGGATGTTGCACTAAGAGACCAGGTCGCGGATCTTGGGGAAGCCCATAAACAAGTGGAGGTCATGCCCACGTTCCATTTCTTCTTCTTTGAAGACCAAGTATTTGTATTGGAGATCTCTATATTTATACCATGTTACTCCAACAAACCTAGTTCGAACCTGAGTGACCTCTTCGGATCACCAACCACGCAAAAACCACCCAAAACAGGGGCTATGTTTGGGTTCTAGGCCCTAGGCCCTGGGGTTCAGTGTGACACAGCGTCGTTGTGGTGGTCCACCCGGGGGTTGCGTGGTTGTGGCGGGCCACTGGCCGAAAAGCACCACGATAGGTGGCAACAAAATTCTTTGGAGGTTCTTTGTTGCAGCATTTCATGCCAGGAACATCCTGTCTGGGTGTCCTGGCTGGACTACCCTGCACTACTTGGCGATCTCAATTGGACACCCATTCAATGGTCCAGAGTCCAGGTGTGTTCTTTCTCATGGTAGGCCATTTCTGAGTGAAGATATACCAGCAAGTCTGGTGTTGATCAGGGTTTGATTGGCAGAGATGACAGGGAATCGTCTTTGGAGAGATGGCCGGTAGAAGTCTTCGGAGGTGCGAGTGAATCCAAGTGAACTTGCATGTTGGATGGAAACGAAGGACTGGAAAACGGATGAAAACGCCGGCCCTTTCTGCAACAAAGCAAGAAAGAACAGGCTGTTGATGGCACACAATCGTCCGTCTTCGCACTAACTATCTCACAAGTTTGGCTCCTCGACACCAGTCCCTCGCGTGTGTCGGTGTTGTACTGGGGTGTGGTGGACGGCAGATGAACCAACCTGGAGGAGGAAACAAGAGGAAAATCCCCATAAGGGTCTACCTTGGGAGTCCACCTTAAAATGATCTTTGGATGACCCGAGTCCAGGATGTTCCTTTACTTCGGTGGTGCCAAATATGGCAGTGGGTCAAAACAGGGGGACCCTGGCTGAGCACGGATCGATACTTGCGCACGAGTCCGGCCCTTCCCTTTCAGGGGTACCGGGGTGTTGGTATGTATGATCTATGTACCTATGAACATGCACACCCTTTCTCTAAGAGACATGAACAGAATAGACTCTACAAATCCAGACATGGTCCACCTACCAGGATTTGCTCCAGGTTTGGTCCCACGGCCATACCTAGACACGACGAATGGGACTGGTTTTCTTTGTGCCCCCAGACAGACCCCTTTTCAATCAACCGCCCCCGTGCAGATCATGAATTCATATGCCAAAACCCGTAACCTGACGCCATCCATGGGAGTCTGGGTCGATCAACCTGATCCGGATCAGGAAAACATGCGGATCGTGCAGAGCTGTGAGGCTGATTGGACCTCAGATCCGCCGACCAGCACCACGGACTGACCAGATCGGACCAGCAGGACGGAGCAATGTGGGACAGCGAGAGCAGCGATCTGATGTTCTATTGCATATTAGTGCATCATATAATTACTATGTTGATTTTTGCATATATCATATGTATGTGTGTATATGTATGTACTTGTATGTATATATATATATACACTCCCGAAAACTAACATAGACCCTGACAATGGTCCCATGGAAGACTATTTTCCTCTACCAACCAGGGGTTTTCAGGTTCCGTGTTAGTCTTCCAGGGTGTATATCATATATTACCTCCATTGGTAGAGAGACGGGAGGTTCTCCGAAGGGGTCACTAGGTTGTGCTCAGCTTGGATAGTCTATGTTCGCAGAGCCACTGGTGAGAAGCTTGCGCACTGATTTTTGAATGGGTATCTTAGGCGTCAAGTTGCGCGAACGAATTTCAATCATGTATTCTGAGGGTGTCGGAAATGAGGTCCGAGGTGAGTCGCGTGGTTAGTGTTTTTATCACAGCGACCACAATGCCTGTTTGAAACATTGGGACTCCCAATACGGTGCGCTGAGGCCGGTCCTTTTTGAGCGAAAGAGGGCCAGTGCATCAATTAGATCACGAGCGGAGGTCATCAACAAATTGACCCGGCGTAAGTGGCTTTTGGAGACTGCTGCTACGGATTCCGCCGCGTTGTCTCCGGCACGCAACGTAACGCTAGAGCGACGCTCCTTGCAAAGATTTTCCTCGCAGAGCCTTCGGGATGGACATGTTCTGCGATGTTACGAATCCGGCTACAGTGTTGTCAAGCCGATGACAATGTCGTGAAACCGATGACACTGTTATGAAACCGATGACAATGTTGTGAAGCCGAAGATCATGTTATAAGTTAGCTAAATTCTAAACACATGGTTCATAGTGTTTCTAGTATAAGGAGGATGTGTGCGACGGAGGGTCGACGACAATGTAAAACAGCCACGACGACGAGTGGACAAAGCAGCGACGACGACCATGGTTACCACGACGACGATGGGTGGTGACGACGACGACGATGGGTGGTGACGACGACGACGACGACGACGACGATGGAATTGACATTGTCGGCTGCAGCTGGTCCAGTTGACTGCAAGAGCATGCAAGAGCATATATTATATGCAGCATGCAGCGTAGATATAATGAGACTTGTACATTCACATGGTCGGTTTTGCTTTTTCACTGTGAGATTGCGCTCTGTTCGTGTCAATCCCCAAAGCCATTTGCCACACCTGCCACGCCTTTGTTAGTGTGGACGCTGCTGTTAGTGTGATCGGTGGCATGTTGCACTGTCAGAGCAAGGGAGTACTGAGCTCATATTGAAACAGTTGTAGTGAGAGATTGCTAGAATCACAAACGAACTATCAAGACTATAGTCCAGTATGTACAATATCCAAAGCCATTTGCCACCCCTGCCACACCTTTGTTAGTGTGGACGCTGCTGTTAGTGTGATCACTGGCATGTTGCACTGTCAGAGCAAGGGAGTACTGAGCTCATATTGGAACAGTTGTAGTGAGAGATTGCTAGAATCACAAACGAACTATCAAGACTATAGTCCAGTATGTACAGTATAGTCAGTATAGTATAGAATTACTATGACTATGACTATGAGTCATTGACTCATTCAGTACCAAAAGATGTCTATATAAGAGATGTCTAAGTGCGACAGAGATACTCCAAGAGATGTCAGGGTGCGCTCCTAACCAAAGCCATGGTTGTTGTGCGACCAACACGGTGGTGGACAGCTAAACTTGCTCGCATTGGATTCTTGCCTGTATGAAGAAGATGTTGAAGTCGCAAAGAGCCTTTAAATAAATGGCTATTTAATGGTGTTTTTGCCTGTCAGTGATTAGTTGATGATATATTCGATAGCCAGTGATTAAATGAACGTTTTGTTTCTGCGTGGCACGCCTAAGGCAAAGGTGTGGTAGCACACCAACGAAAAAAAAGAAAATTCAATGCCACAGTGAGGCTGGTGACGCCCTTCGTTCTTTGAGAAATAAGAACAACATCTGGAACGGTTTGAAAAACATTGTTATGGGTTCTGCTTATGCTACAGTCATGAGTCATAAGTCATAAGTTATGTTGTGTTCCTATGTATTGGCATGAGTGAGCAACAAAGATAGGTCATTATTGTCTTGACAAGAAAAAACACCTTCCATTAGAGTGGCCGCAGGAATGCTGTATTGCGATATGAGAATGATCATGCAGTACGTGCAAAAGATGTGGTGGCAACAACCAAGGGTCTTGGCCATGGAGGCTGTAGACGATGGCTACCAAGGGCATGCATTCGCTCATCGTTCTTTCTGCATGTTCAGTTATGTTTTTGTGCACCGTATCAAGATGTACTGTTTCATAGTTCGTTGTGTATGCATGGTTCATTGCTGCCATTGGCTGCTTGCGCCCAATTAGGTTTGGACACTCAGTGCTTTCGTCGATAAAGCAAACATCACCAGTTGCCTTCTCTCTCAACTCGCTGGCATATTGGTTACGTGCATCAACAACGCATTTGCAACAGGTCTGGATCTACCACTTGTGAGACCTTTTTGGACAACCATGGCTTAGCAAATTTGCTTGCTCAATCCAAAGCTTCCTTGCAGGTAAGAAATGCAGTTGCATATATTGCTATGAAATGCCAGCAGAAGTACGCACGCCAGCTTGTCAAGGCAGGTTTGAGAGTACATCTTCAGGCAACAAAATGCATTGATCTAGTAAAGGCGCATTTAAGATGAGAACTTTGGGTTCAGACAACAAGCAACCAGCAACTTAAAAAAAATAGAGCAAACACATAATGACTCGACAAACTCAAGTGATGGGAAGCTTGGGAGAGAAGGGTGCTTGGCTCAAGACTCAGTTGACGTTTCAAATGGATCAGGATGAAACTGAAAGGTGTTTTCGATGGGTTGATTGGCGAGCGAATGCATGCCGTGCTATGATGAGATCATTGCTGAACGAACTGGTGATTTCCTATGGGAAGCTTTGCTTATTTCATATGCTAATGATGTATGTTATCTTTCTACTTGTCAGTTCCATGCAAAATGGACTTGTTGTATAGGCACAGTTTAGTTGCACTAAGGCGTCGACCCAGTCTTCAATTTGAGGCTGTGCTAGCTGCGCACGCATGTATGAAGCAAACTGCTTGGGGATTACATCGTCTTCAGTCATTTACCACTGACGCTAAATTTGAAGGAAACGTTTTGAGGCAGTCCTGTATATTAACATATATATTTATCAAATTGTGTTAAATATATAATATCCATGATGACATGATCAGTCCTTATGTTCTGAAGCAGGACTTGTGATTGTTTTTCTATGTGTTTGTTCTGTCGTTTTTTGGAGGAAACATCAACAAAAGTTTGGAAGTGTGCGACCAAGGGACGCTATTATCCTCAGCAACTTATCGAATTGGAGGTGCTGATGGAGCATGCTGCAAATGATGTATCTGATTTGGTGTGGGTCTCTTGTCTTAAAGTTTGTAAGCTGCAAACTGTCAACAATCATGTGGACGAGACAAAATTTCAAATCGCATGGGCGGTGTCTTGCGCAGGTTGTGGGAAAATCGATGCTTGGCCCTGAAGGCCAAGTAGTACAGAGCTGCGAAGAGTTCTTCAAGAAAAAGGACAGTACATACTTCGACAAGTCTCCAGAGTTTCACGACAAGAATATGTGCTACATCAGGGAGAATGACTTGACATTCACGTTGAACAATCCAAATGATTCAGAGTTTCGACATGGAGAGGTCTACCAAGTTGTCTTTGACTTACTATTTTCCCTGCGCGGCGTTTTGGCTTCAATTGGCCTTTAATTTAATTGATAAATTTAATCTATTGTTTTTGTATGGTCATTTATGTGGCTGAGAATTGATTGTTAGTTGCGGTATGTACTTTCAGCACTTAGTGTTCTCCCTACATGTTGAGGTATTCAAGCCTATATGGACACAGCCGCCATCAAAGATGCCATCGCACTATTTGCACATATTAGAGCGGCAATGAAACCAGAACAGGAAGCAAATCCATCGGCTGAGAGTTCCAAACGCTCCCGCCGTCGCTGAAGACGGGCTCCAGCTCATTGAAAAAATAACACTTGACATGTCTGCAATTTTTTGCTTTGTGAACCCATTCTCATGATGTTGTTTGCAGGCCGATTCACAATATGATGCGCTGAAGCTGCATCTTGAATTCGACGAGACACAACAGGAGCAGTTGGTCAAGTTGATGTTTGTGCGCAACAAGGCAACAATGCCAGTGCTTGTGCTTTGTCTGCATTAGAGCTGGCTGTCTTGCAATCAGTTAAGTTAACTAATGTTAACTACATGCCCATGACACTTAGTCATGGGTTATGAGTCATGAGTCACTAACCATTAAGGTACAAAGAGCAACCATTGTTACTTCAAAAAATGGCGAATCAAGGCTCGGCTCAGACTTCTTGAGACACAACATGTGGAGCATGCGTCATTGCAATTCATTTTTTGAATCTATGAATTGCTCAGGCATACAGAATTGGTGTGTCCACCATGCACCCTACGCAATACAACAGGAGCTGAGATATGGCAAGGAATAGTACGTGGCCAGCCGATGCACCCAATGAGCCTCTCTCTCTTCACACATGTGTGTTTTGTGTTTTTCTCACAACTTTTTTTTGGGATGGTTTGGTGAACTGAATTTAGATGGATATTGACATTGGCAATATTGGATGCTTGGCTTAGGTTGGAAGCAAGCTACACGCAAGTTCATAATTGGTGTGACTTCAGATTTTGCCACAGCAAATACCAAGCTAACCAAATGGTTGGCTGCCAACCTACCTGTGGACTCATACTTGGTGCACCACAAGTGCCTAGCGTGCACACCTTAGCCAACCTTACCTGTTGATCAGAATACTTAGCAATATCAGACCATCATCATGCCGTTCCAAGGCATGAGGCAAATCATGTCGTTGAAGGAATCTGGCAAAACCTTCACC